TGTGAGCTGAGTCAGTGCCGACGCCTAGAGCAGCTGTGCCTGCACGAAGATTGCCTCTCGTCTGGAGCTCTGCTGGTGCTTGCGTCCCTGCTGCCCAGTTTGCCCATGCTCTCCATGGCGAGAGTGGTGAGGAATTATTTCCGAGATGCTGACGACGAAGCAAAGCTGTTCGCCGCCGCTGTTGAGAGCTGCTCATCTCGGAAGGAGCTGTTGATGCCTGAAATAGCTCTAGTGTCTCCTGGGCTGGGCGAAGCTCTAAGTGCCAAGGCTAGAGATGATCTGAAAGTGCAGTATGTGCGAAGTCGCTTGTACGACCAAGTGAAGAATGACGAAGAAGAAGAGGAGTACGGCGATGAAGGAGATCGTGAGAGTGAGAAATGAGGAGGTGAGAGGATTGACATGGACGGATTTCTGTCCTTATGCAGAAAGTTTCGTTTTCGTCTATCACTTCCTCCTGGCATACAGTCCGTCTGTGTATGTGCTTATTAGTATATGTGCGTATGTGTGCATGCGTGGTAGTATTGCTGCGTGTGCGTGCTTGTAAGTGCGTATACATGTTATGTGTATACTTGAGTGTGCATGTGTGTGTGTGTTTGTGTGTTCGCTTGTATGTGTGTCCGTACGTTTGTATTTCCGATGGACATTCCTTCCTTCATTTTCAGGCAGTTCAAGGGATCACTGCGTTGACCTTTGACTTCTAGACTTTGGACCCTGTAATTGGATGTTTTTGTTCCGTAATTTGCTCCATAATTCTGGACTGTTGCTGATAGAAGTTGCTCTATAGAACTATTCGTTTTTGTTGATGTGGTTTTAGTTGATATGGGTGATCATTTCTTTGCATGTACATGTACATAACGTTATACATAGTATGTCTGTATGTATGTTTCTAGTTTTTTTAGTAAATTTTGTTAAAATGTTTGTTGTACAAAGTGAGTAGAAAAGAGAGAATAGAAAACACAGATGAAAATGATCATTGAGAACTAACATTCATAGCATCATCACCTTGCCACTCACGTACTTCGAAGTAGTTCTTACTTGTGCATAGTGTAATGTTTTTACTGGTCGTAAGTTTCTTGGCAAATCTTTGTATCTATTGAATGGGATACTGTTGTAAGATATCTTTTTCGCAAGTCAATACTTCCCCTCCGTTTGAGATTTCACTTTCGTGTTAGTATTCTCTGACGGGTGTTCTTCAAGTACGTGTGTGAATGTGTGTGTGAATGTGTATGTGTGGGTTTGTAAATGAAAAAGTGAATATGTATCCCCTGTCAAAGCATAGTTATGAGGATTTTGCGAGCATAATTGCGAGTATAATTCCACGATTTCGCGAGCATAATCCGCCAGAGCCTACCGGCAGATTATGCTCTCGAAATCGCAAATAATTGTGCTTTCGCGGAGTCTCGCATTGTGCTCGCAAAATTCCTCATATGCTTAGGTGCGCGGGGATACCTATTCACTTTGTTGTATTTATGGAGCCTCGAAGTTCGGAAAATAGTGCATTTTTCGTACTTACAAGTGGCCATAAGTAAACAAAATACATGAGCATCCACATACCAAGGTGCCCATGCATGCTAGAGATCAGCATGAAAAGGAGAAAAGAGTGCTTCTTCCATTCATTAGTTGACTTCTTTTGCAAACATATTTTTCCATCTCCAAATTAGTTTGAGTTACCTTTGACAATTATCATGTTCAACAGTCTTCGTAATCATCATACTCGTCCAACCGATTTCACCCTCACCTTGTGAATAATCGGATCATCTCTTCCGTAGCTTCACCTCTCCTTCCATCATGACCAAACATCAACATGTACAGTCAACTTCGCTAATAACGACTGCGGATATAACGACAATTCGCGAATAACGACCGAATTTCCATGCCCAGAGCAAAGTCCCATCTAACTGTATACATTTAACTTCGGATATAACGACTATCTGAATAACGACAATTCGCGTATAGCGACATGCTTTTAGTGCCCCGAGGTCATTATTCACTGCTTGAATAACGACTTTCTGGGCTTTTGACAGCTATTTCAAGTACCTGTCAGTCAAGTACAATGTACCTATCATGCAGAAGTACCGGAACCTATGGTGATGTATATTATTATAGGCACACATGCACATGCAAGAAAATGCAGCCAAGGGGGCCGGGGGGGGGGGCTTTTTCTTCCTTTTTTATGTTGGCTTCAAAATTGTTGGATTTACCAGCACACCTATATGTATACAATGTACATGTAGTTGTACATGATTGTACAGTAATCATAATACATTTACATCATCGTACATGTACATGTCTCTGGTCCTGTAGATGGCCCAAAAAGGCATATTTTTCAATTGATTTCCCTTGCATATCGAATTTTTAGTTCCTTTCAACTGCAATATGAAAATAGTACACATTGACATAGAGCAAGAAAAGAGCTTGATTTTGATATGCATGTCATACTATACAAATTTGGGTTCACATACATTCAAATGGGACTTCGGTTATAAGGACACTTCGCGAATAAGGACACTTTTCTGATGCCCCGCCGAATGTCGTTATTGACGAAGTTGACTGTACCTCATTTTTTTAATTACTAGAGTGTTGTCTGATGATTGCGTGAGCATGAAACTTAAAGTAGCAGCGAACAAGCCTTGATTGTCCTTGTTGTTCTGTTGTGTATTATGCTCTGCCTTTGTGGTGTTGAGCACTGTCAGCACTCTGGGTATGTCCTTCCGGTAATTACTAGAGCAATATCCATAGCCTGCACAGGCATGGCTGCTAAAATCCAGAGGTCATGACTTCGTATCATGCATAAAGTACATGTACGAAGAGTTTGCAGACTATCCGTCAGTATCTCGCCCCCCCCCCTCCCCCTGGGATACCTGATAAGAGCTGCTTCACTCGCATCTTCTGCTACATGTACTGTATCATGCAGGCCACCACACTAATCATGTGCATTGTACACAATTGTGTAGCCTACATACTGATCTCTGGTATTTCGACGTACAATCGAAGTACAATCATGTAGTTATGCTTTTACCTCCCAAAGGATTCCAAATTATGCTCCAAAATTTAAACCATCAAATTACGCCAATAATTACGTCGGCATAATCCGCCGTGGCCTAGCATGTCGATATTTTATGATGTATTCATGTAATGAATTCAGTTTAGCGTAGGCGCACATCTCGCAACTACGTATCTGCTGCGCTACAGCGCCCTCTACGGTTCTGGCCGCGGCACTTGTTTAGCGCGCCTTGCCGCGACCGGCAAGACCGCCTGCTGTGCATCACATTAATTTATGCGTACGCCATCACAATAATTAATTCAGTTTTGATCGGGTCCGAGTCCGCAACGTGGCACATCTCCTTGCCATTCTCAGTTTTGAGTCTTCTCTGCTTTGGCTCATGCCCGACTTGCATCCTGCTGCCTTTGTCTTTTGCTGGCCCACGCCAAAGCAGCATGTTCTCCCCTAACTTACCTTCTGCGAGGATGCATCCCGATTTTATTACCAAATACCTGCAAGAATGTTGCTCCCGCTTTGAACTGCTAGGTCCTTTTTCCTCCTCGCTTTTTCCTTTTTTTCATTGCTCCGGTGTTGGCTGCGTTCCGAAAAAGAACGGCCGCTTCCGTTTAATCCACCATCTCTCTAGCCCAGAGGGTCAAAGTGTTAACGATGGAATTTCACGTGAAGATTTCAGCTTGCATTACATCACTATTGATCACGCGATCGATGCCATTATGCAGTACGGTCGTTCTGCTTATCTTTTCAAACTTGACATTCGGAGTGCTTTCCGCATTGTACCTGTGCGGCAGGAAGACTGGCCTCTGCTAGGTATTCACTGGCAAAACCAATATTATTTCGACACTGTGCTCCCCTTTGGCTTACGCTCCAGCCCTGCCATTTTTAACTCTATTGCCGACTGCCTTGAATGGATTGCTCGCTATGAGTTTTCTATTACTGACCTGCTCCATTATCTAGATGATTTCCTTTGCATTTCTCCATCGGAGCTGGTGGCGAACCAACGTGCTTCAATCCTGCTTCGCTGTTTTAACTATGTCCAAGTCCCCTTGGCACCTGACAAAGTGGAAGGTCCAGCTCAAGTGCTGTCGTTCCTGGGCATCGAGCTGGACTGTGGCAGACTGGAGGCCCGGCTACCAGACACCAAGTTGCAAGATCTCCGCACCTTGCTCGACCAGTATGTCAACCGTGGCGACATGACCCAACGCGAACTCGACTCACTATTGGGAAAACTCTCCTTCGCAGCTCGGGTAATTATACCTGGTCGGACATTCATGCGCCGACTCTGGGATATTTGTCACCGCTACAGTCAGCCACACTATAAGATCAAACTCTCAGTCGAGGCCCTGGAAGACCGGAAGTGGTGGCAACGCCTCCTCTCGCAATGGAACGGAAAGTCCTTCTTTCATATGCCAAATTGGACCCCGTCTCCCGACATCCAATTGTTTACTGATGCCAGCGGTTCGATCGGCTGGGGCGCATGTTATGGCCATCGCTGGATCCAGGGACAGTGGTTGCCGGAACAAGCCGACTACTCCATCGAGTGGAAGGAGATGTTCGCCATTGCCGCAGCTTGCTCCTCCTGGGGCCTTGAATGGCGCAAGCTCCGCATACTCGTGTACTGTGATAACGAAGCCGTAGTGACATGCCTGTCCAATGGTTGTAGCCGCTCCCCCCCAGTCATGGACCTGATACGACGGCTGTTCTTCATGTGCGCTAACTTTGGCTTCATTCTGTCAGCAAAGCATATTCCAGGATGCACTAACAAAGCCGCTGATGCTCTGTCTCGTTTTAACATGCAGGCGTTTCGCGAGGCGGTTCCGGGAGCTCGGGCGACAGCCGACCTGTTCCAGTCATTCTAACTGCCGCGGATGAATTAGCAGCACGATATGCTGCTCACGCTCTATCCGACAACACCAGACGAACGTATTCCGCCGGCGAATCTAAGTATCTCAAGTTCTGCCAACTTCAAAGATGGTCCCCGTTTCCCGCTTCAGACCTAATGCTGAGTAGTTTTGCTGCCTCCCTAACCCAGTCGGTCAGACCAGTGACTATTAAGGTTTACCTCAGTGCTATCAAGAACCTGCACCTGGAGCTCGGTTATGTCGACCCGACCGAGGGCGCGCACTTCCTCAAGCGAGTGGTACGCGGTATTTGCCGTTGCCATGGAGTAGCCGCTGTCCGCCCCAGGCTGCCAATCACATTTCCTATTCTCTGCAGTCTGGTTGACACCTGCCTAGCTGCTCCAACCATGTGCCCTCACGACAAGCGCTGCCTGCATGCCGCTATGCTTGCCGTGTTCTTTGGTTTCTTCAGATGCGGTGAACTGCTAGAAGCACCTACCACGCGCGGCTGTTTGACATTCGAGTCAGGGATGCTCCATGTGCACCTACCACGCTCGAAGACAGACCCGTCCGGGGAAGGTACGACGGTGCTGATCGGGCCAGCGGTGCCGCCATACTGCGCTGTGAGAGCCATGCTCACCTACCTCACTGCAACCGCCTCTGCTCGTCCAGGCAATGCTGTGTTCATCCTGGCCAACGGGCAACGCCTCAACCGCAGCACTTTTACAGCCCACGTACGCACGCTGCTTAGCACCAGCGGCGTGGCAAACTGGCAGGACTATGCAGGCCACAGCTTCCGTATCGGGGCCGCTACCACTGCTGCCCTTGCTGGCGTCCCCGACCACCAGATCCGCTCCGCGGGACGGTGGCGCAGTGATGCATGCCTACGCTACATCCGGACACCACCGTCATCGGCCCGAACGCTGGCCAGCAAACTATCCTCAGTAAGATCATCTCCCTGACACCGATGTTTCTCAATTCACACAATTCCCTCATAATGAACTATGCTATGCTGCACTGCAATACTGTTGTGTATGGGTATGTACTGGCGGTATGGCGAGTCACTCATAACTGGTCTGCCTTTCTATTGCGGCATTATGGCCTTATGGTCCTGCCTTTCCATTGCGGCAATCACAGCCTCCGGGCTTCTGCCTTCCTGCGGCAATCACAGCCTCCGGGATTCTGCCTTTCTGCGGCACTCGCAGCCTCACGGGCTCGTGCCTACCTTGCGGCAAAGACCAACCAGTTCCTCGTCACCAGTACTTACCCAACACAACCTAGCCATATTCGTGTGGTGTATGCCTGTCTGCATTCCGTCTGTGTGCGCGGAATGCTAATGATGTATGCCTGCCTGCATGCCGTCTGCGTGCGCGGAATGCTAAACTCAGGTAGCAGCCTGGTAGCAGCCTGGTGGCAGCCTGGTCGTAAATTTCATATGGCATTCAATTGATCGTAACTTTGGTGTCTCTCGATGGATTTGAGTGAACGTTTCACCATACACTCCTGCCACTATGCTGGCCCTCTGGATATGATTTAAAAGTTCTTGCGCTTCACTGAGAGGCTTTCCAGGCCGTAAAAACTCAAAACTCCGGCATAGTGCCACGGTGTGCGAGTCACCCAGGAGCCCAAAAAATGCATTTACATGTTTTCACATTTCTTGCCCATTCTGTCCGTGCACGGGATCCAAACCTAAAAAAAGTCCGGAAGCAGCCATGGGTGGTGGGATAGGGCCCCTCAACGTGGCCCTGGTATCTGTCACAACGGCACGAGTGGGCATTCTCTCACAGGCTCCCACAGACCTCAGTCAATTTTGGAATTTTTTAGGTTGAGCACGTTCTACGAGGTCGTATCTTTGATACAACATCCAGTGCTGGGACCTCCACAGGAAGCCATTTCCACAGCGCTGCAAACCAAATCCAGGATACCCTCAAAAATCGGCAAAGACTACCACTCACGTTCCACTACTGCCTAGTACTGAATCCTACCTGACTTCTTGACACGACTCAAACTTGCCAAAGTCACTAAATCAACGTCAATTACAATAATCAAGCCACATATCTGCAACGTCACGAGGGTGCTTGCAAAAGTCCTGCTGCGCGTCGTTCTGTGAATCGTCGTCTATGAACGCGTTTTCGGTGAACCGTCGGGATACCGATATGGTGATGCTACTGATTGCAAGGAGTTGTCACAAAACGGAAGGATACTTCTAGCTGACATGACACGATACGGTCATCTCCACAGGTTTTTGTTTGCTCGATGACGCTTTCCTAATACTGCATTTTTGCACAAACAATTTTCCTTCCAGCTTCATTTTTCCTCTTTGTATTCTTCTTAGTTTGCGTCAGTCTCAATCATGCCATTACACAGAATCTCCTTTGGCGTACCAGATTTAGCGTCCACTAACTATTCTGATTCGACTGGCTGTCGTGTACGCAAGAAGAAAATTTACACGACGGTTCCTGCTGTTAGTACTCGACCTGCTCTGTTCATTGCCCCAATTTGTATTGAATTGTCAGTTCTATAAATCATGCACATGTATGTTCTATCAGGAGTTCCCTGATAGTTGTTTGGATTGAGCGTTTTTCACGTCTACATGGCAGCAAAATTCCAGTACCCAGTTGTGTTTGCCGCAGTTACACCGTTCGTGCAATCTGTTTTTTATTGGCTTACTGGAAGGACCTTTTTGCTTCAAACGTTTCCGTTCCCATCTCCCTCAACCTAATGTCCCTCCGTATTCCTACCCTCTGTACGGACAGCTTTGGTTTTCGTTCCATATTCAGGTGTTATTACGTTGTATGTATTTATATTCTGTACCTCGTACTCACTCCAATAAGTTAAATTTCGGTCTTGAACTGCATAATTCTACTGCCGGTACTACGTGTCTCACAACGTTAGGCTCCTTGTTCTGTTATGCTGGACCCATTTGACTGTTTCCAGTAAGAGAAGGGATAATTGTTTTAGCTGTTCTGCCAATGACATCTTCGAATAATTATGCTATGTCACAATGTGACATGACATCATGTGCAGTACTTTTCTACACCGTCTTTTCATGACTTTGTAGGTACGGCTCGTGATGCCATTTCATCCAAACAGCCAGATGATGATAACATCGCAAACCCCAAATGTACTTTTGTTACAGTGCAACTCACGGAGTACGTGCCCAGGTGCGACGTACACCTGCTTAGTAACTTTTTCCACTTCCCGAGGTGTACATGTACATTATTTTTATCCGAGTTCCCACTGTATTTGGGGAGGTATAAAAAGCATATCGAGGACTAGTTACTTCATGCACCCTGTGTTTCCGTTCCATTGACATCCTTTGTGCGTCAGGTGAAACGCACTGGTGCGATTCTCAACAGAAGAATTGAGAGGTTCCTGCAAACAAATGCCGGTAGTTCCGCACTGCAAGTGCAAGCATAAAATTAATTACCTTCCGGACAATGGAAACGTTCTACTATGTAGGTGCATAACATACGAGTAATGTGCCAATTCTCCGGAGAGCTTCGCAGCAAAAAAAAGGTGGTTTCCTTGATAATCCAGCGCGTGAGGCTCAACATACTGTAGGGTTTAATACGAGTATAGCTGTATCCATTCAGGGCACTAGCAATTGCACGTCAAGGCGTACTCCAGAGGACTCGGTGTTACATCTTTTCACGATTTAGTCGTAGATCAGGGATCTATGTGGTTGCTATTGTATTTCAAATAACCCAGTGCATAGTGATATTGTGGGTTTCAAACAGAATTTCGGTTACTGTTTTGTATGTCGTACAATTGCATCCATTTTACCGATCAACCTGGTCTCCGGGATTGTGGTTCTGATTTTGATACTTGATCCACTCGATCAAATCCGCCATGATTCCGTCTCGTGACGGGGCGGTCGGACCAGGGTGGGTTGTAGTGATATCACCATGTGGTAGTTAGGTCTCTCGAGTACGTTGTAGACGTCTCCAACTTCAGTCTGGTTTTGGGTCTATATTGACGTGTACACGGGCTGGAAGAGCTCCAAACATTGTACAGCGAATCCTTTCCATAGTGTTGGTATAGGCGAAGGAAACCTGCCTACATAATTTGAGGCAAACCAGAAAGAAAAATAGCCAATCATATCCGGTTAACTCAGACATGCTCTCAGTAAATGATTTCCATTTTATGATTGGAGATATTTTTATGTTTTCATTTCAAAGATGCCCATAAGTAGTGAAATAACGAAACGGATAACTTGATCAAGGTGGTCATCATTCTGTATCATAATCACAATCTCCGTGGACCAGCACCCGCCGATACTGTCCCTGAAAACGGATTGCCAGCTAAGCATGCCAACTAAACATTCATACTGTACTTGAATCGTGTCTGCTTAACAGATGTACCCTTTACCATATCAATGATGGAATGAGTGCGTCTTTATCCGCTCAATTCCTCGTGCCAAACATCCGCTCTGGAGTTACCACTGGCTGCATGCCGACCAGCCCCCCATTCTCTTTTGTTTGGCCGTGCTTTGGTCTGTATGCTCCTGTACTAGTATGTACATTTGACCTCATCGCTATTCTGTTCTGAACACAGGTATCATTTGACTCACTTCAGATTTGAGCAAGGTCTCAGTCGAGGCCAAGGCTACGAGTCATCCCGTTTTTGAGATCCATCTGGGACATTCTACCGTCCACATCGGCCTCGGTGAGGTTGTCGTGGTGTGGGCAGGACGATCACTTGCTAGAAACTCATTGATTTTATCATTCAAGTCGTGGCGGGGCACTGCCAAACTGAGTCAGTCCAAGATGGAAATGAATATCACCGTTTGGGTATGCACGATCGTGTTTATAGGGCTAGTCGAGTCGATGGGCCCGAAAATGGGAATGTCTTCACCGAGGTCTACTACAGCTCCTACAATCGCAACACAGCAATATGGTACGCTTAATTATTACTGATATACAGTCTCAATTAGAGGCAGCAATTAAGGCGATATTTCAAGGAATGGGTGTTGCTCTCAATGTGGAAACTTGCGCTTGCAGACTCGACTTGACTCAACTTCTGTCCGCACCCCTCTACATGTTAATGCACCAGACCTTCCAATAGGCACGCCTGCCATAAAGTACCATTCTCAGCTCATCAAGTCGTGACTCAGTCAAGTCACAAGTACGCTGCACTACATACGTGTAGATTCATATACATTGAAGTCTGCTCTCAATCTGGCTATTGGATATTTTATTTTTCATTGATATCAGACTCTGCCTCATTTTCTCTGTCCTGCGCTGATGAGTCCACAAAGGACGAAACAGAGATTTCCGCAGATTGAGTATACAGTGCAGTCTAGAAAGGTGTGTAGCCTCTGGGGATTGTTTACAACCCTGTTCATTGTTATTGGCACGATGGTATTATCTGTGCTGTTACAGCCGTCAAGAGGACAATTTACACCTCCAACCCGAGGGTAAAATACATCCCCATCTTTCGCATTTTTTATTTATTTTATATTTTTTACAAACAAAAACACACCATTTGACGGCACAAAGCAGCAAGGCAGCGATAAGAGATATGGAATGGCCGGAGCGGGGAGAGGCAGGGGCAGCTTGACCGACCATATGCATTCCCCTTTTTGGAATATTTTCTTTCGGTGTTAAAGGTGACTTCACCTTTTGGCAAATGCTAAAATCTCATAATTATACTGACAGATATAGATAGGGTTACAGTTCACAAACTGGGGTCTCCTACAGATTTCCCCTTTCTAAATGTAGGCCCGTATAGCGGTCCTTGCTACTGCGGTCCTTACACTTTCTCTCTATCTCTCTTTAGAACAGTATACTCTCTCATAATAGAAGTAAGAAGTGAAGTGGAACATGTCCTTCTCAAGCTACCTCTTCGTCCCTATTGCGAAAGCTAGGATCCGTGACATGTTGAATGTGAATATCAACTTTACCTATTTGTATCGACACAGTTTTGCCGTTCGATATAGAGCGTGTGTATAGCCGTTCAGTGTTTGGTTAGGTCTACATCACTCTGAGCCTCATCAATCCCGATGTTTGTATAATGTAGCTTCCCAAGGATGGGGAAATTTGGCCGGGTCTGAAGCTAGTTGCAGTCTGCATAACATAAATTCTTTTAATACAAATTCAATCTTTCAAATCATTGCATTCGCAGTTCCACTGGGTGTGAATTTATATGATACGGATGTAGGATCCATGCAATAGGTCTTTCCCATTCTTCGAATTCCAAAAGTGTTTAAAAGTCACTTACAGGGGATGCTACATGTCTTACTAGTAATATTTTGTTTTGCACTGCAGGCAATTGGACTACGTGTACACCACCCACGGGTATCGCTAAAACCAGGATGAGAGTCTCGCTGCACAGAGTTAACTTAACCAATGGCAGAGATCCTTGCTCGATGACTGGTTGGCTTGCCGAACCCGTCAATCAAACACTAAAGGAGTGCCTCAAAAATGCGTGCAATGGGATCACCAATCAACGGAGCAAACCGGTGTGGGTCGGTCTACACGGAACAGGTGTTTGGAGTTGGATGCGCTCTTCTACATTACTAGCACAAGGGACAAGCGTCGCTGGTTCCGGACAGAATAAACGCTGCGCCACGTACACTTTCCCTGGTCCCGAGAATTACATGGCATCTTCTTGCGATGAATTGAACTACTACGTATGCCAAGCGTTAGTGAGTAAGTAACTCCATTGGCTAAGAAGCTCTTACCATGTCTCTGGGTTAGAATTCTGTACCGTAGTTGGGGCAGCCTTGAAAGAGAATATCTATCATTCAAGTCAATTCCCAAATGCATCAACGTACAACTGTAGAAATGTCCACTATCCCCAAAGGACTGTTATGTATCACCCACCCTTATAGTTGACTGTGTCATAATACGAGGCCCGTCCTTTTTTGTGGCGAACGGCTAATGTTTGTCGGCCAATACCATGAATTATTGGACCATTTTAGCGCAGTCTGGACGCGTCACGACAACTGAGTGCACGTGCATCTGCCCCGTAAGTAACCATTTTGAGGATACTGAAAACTCACAAAAGGTGGAGTCATCACTCGTTTGGCCCGCCATTACATCATGAACTTTGAACCCAGCTAAGTACAACCTGTAACGCGACTTGTTACCATGCTTCGTGTTGATCTTTTTTTCCTTTTTTCCTTATAGAACCACTGAAAAATACAACCGCGTTAAACGCGACATCAAGTTCCCTGCCCACTACCACGAACGCAAATACGAATGTGGACTCCGTTACTCCGACACCGGCCATATCCAGAAGAACTTCCGCGCAGTCCGCCACCACAACACAAGCATCGCTATCACCTTCAACGTCAACAACCACATCAATGTTGAAATCCCTCACGACGGCACCACCCTTCCTGTCGTCGCTACCGAAAACAACAATGTCTCAGCCGCCCTTAACCACAACAAAATTGCAGCCTTCAATTGCATCGCAATCACATCTGACGTTAGTAACTTCATCAACGTTACAATCGGGCACAACGAAACCTAGTGTTCAGTCTTCAGGAGCATTACCAACATCATCCACGCCACAAATAATTACCAATCAACAGTCAATTCAGTCGACCGTAGCAACATCGCATCCCTTTACGTCTAATGAGATAAGGTCCAATACAGTTACACGACATGTTCCCACTTCAATGGCCCCAGCACATATGACCCAGCCCACAATGTCGCAACGACATACATACACCACGCAGAATTCGCCAAGAGTCTATTCTCGTCACTCCTCCTGGCAACCAATACCAACACCAACTGATTTGGGGGACCAGTCAGTAACTAAGGGCACACCATTTGCGTCCAACACAAGCGTTGTTGCAACTGCTGGGGATGCTGACGACAATCTAGAGAAGCCCGTTAAAGAGCAACAGAACTCCGCCACACCTATTGGCTCCGGTGTTGCCGTCTTGGTTGCTGTCGTCTTAGCCATTGTGATCCTCGTTGTATGCAAGAAACGGCAACAAAGAAAGCTTGGCCTTTGTTCCCAACACGGTGAGTAGTAATTTACTCTTAGGAATATTATTAGTTTTGCTCGGTTATACATGTGCGTAGTATAATCTTCACTGGTGAGGGCGGGTGGGGTTTCACTGCGGTATGTTAACACTTTTTTTGATGCACATTGGATTAACTGAGTGAAGGATTTTTGTAACTATGCGATAGGGTAAAGATGATACTTTTCATCATTTTCATCATTGACTGTGTAGTGGCTTATGTTATCGTTTCTATTGAAGCCCCATAAATTGTCAAATACAGATACAGAGGATTTACTCAGTCTCGTGACAGATAGCTGTTTCGATCCGGCTGTTAATGTGCTCTGCTCGCCGATAGTGAAGAGAAATTAACCAGGCGTCTAGGCCTTACGCATTCGTCTCCTCAGAAGAGATCAGAGTCATTCACAGTCAGAGTACACAGGGGATTTGCATGTACATGAACATGTAGTAAAGTTTAACACAATTTCACTTGGATGGCGAGCCAATGATTATTATTATTATTTTGCTTGTTCGCGTTGGCATCAACCTGCATAAAGCAGGTATATAGCCTTCGCTTAAGCTGCCATAAAAAAGAAAGCTCATCCTAAGCGAGAAGGCTAAAGGAAAATATAACGATAACGAGATACAAAATACAAAGAAATCCAATGAGTTCAACATACAATTCAAAACAAGAAGGAAAGGAAAGAAAAACAGAGCCGAATCTACCGATTGATCTATCAATCGACAAAAGGGGACTAATCCGTTAATGTTGCAAAGTATAAGCTGATTGTAGCTGCAGATCTCCAGGCCAAGGCCAGCATATTGCCAATTTTGGATCGGTCTCCGCAGCATTTGATGTGGTAATTATCATAATGGTTGATAAAATTGTTAGAGTATCTAGAGTATCTAGTGTGTTAGAGAATCTAGTGTAATTGTATCCGTTATTATTGTTAAGAGTATCTTGTGTAATTGTATAACTTCAGCCACTACACACAGCACACATTAGTTCCTTCAACTTTCGACTGGGTGAGCTGCCTCAGTGCAACTAGATCCTCGTGTGATGGTGTGAGGGAGTTTGTGGATCTGGAATGTTTCAAGTCGTTGTCGATAGATCGCGGGAGGGTTGTTCTCGGGCGGCCTCGGAACCCTGAGCTTCCTGGTTGAAAGTATGCTGACATAGCCTGCTGCACCGTGGATGAGGTGTCTAGTCGAAGCATGTGGCCAAGCATTCTCCACCTGGCAGACTGGATGATTCTGCTGAGTGGCTTGGAGCCAGTGCGTTTGTACAGTGCCAATGATACAATTATAATTATAGAAAAGGACCAAGGAACTACAAGTTCAGAGGTGCTGTGTATGTTCTGTGCTAGAGCTGATATCCAGGTAGTTGTAAAACGTTAGTACTGTCGTTCAGTGTCGTGCAATGTTGTTGCATGAGCTGATTCAGGCTGATTGTTTAGCAACTGGGGAGTGTTGCAGCGTACATGCACATGTACAGTATAGCGTAACGTGCAGTTCCTTGGTCCTTTTCTTTTCCACAATTTCTTTTCTACAATTTCACTTTTTGAACATTTGTACACACTGCATGGGTAGTCTGTGCTTGGATTATTGGTTTGCCTGCTTTCACACCTCTTCGCTAACATTTGGTTTTGAGATATCCGAAAGGAAAATCTCTAACCTTACTTCCAGGATATAAATTATCCTTATGTGACTGCAACACTTATCACTTGTTCCCAGGTCCTGTGGTACTTCAGAACAACCTTGCGGCGGATGAAATGGTAAGCACGCGTCATAGACTTTTCCTTTGAAAATGAATTCATGAAATGCGAGGCCAGGAACAATAATTATTATGGGCACATAAAATAATTGTAAAAATGAGTGTGATAGAAGACTGAAAGTGAGCAACCTTTGAAGTGGGTCCATCGTGTGAAGATCCAGATCGCACGGAGTTCTGGTGAGCAGTCGCTTTGAAAATAACTAACGTCAAGCCTCTTTTCAGGACAAAAAATGGATATAAAAGGCAATACAAATGAAAACCCAGAAAACCAGAAATGGATTTACCGCCCCATTCCGAGGTCACAAATACATAGGCACTAGTACCGCATTTCGCGTCCAGACGGTGAAAGTGGTGCTGTGTATGTTCTTGTGAGTGCGTGGATTTGGAGCAAGTTTTATGACGTGCTCACCTCTCAATAATAGCTCAAGTCCATGAGAGTAAAGTCACGAACAGGCAGTGTACCCAAATTCTTATGTGCCAAGTCATGAAGCGTTCTGAATAATAAAACTGTGTTCTGGGGCAATATCATAAAGTTCTCTCAGGATCCCTTGCATGTACCGTTATGAGACACAGATTCAATATCATGGTGTCGATTTCCACATTTCCGTTATTCTCGCCTGGACTATGCCACAGTTGACTCATGACACGATTCCTTTTATGGTAAAATATTTATTCCTGCACAGCGGCAATCAAATTGTCAGAATGCCCATGGTGCGGTCGTAAACGAACCGGATCGGCTACAAGATGGATTCCAGGGCAGTCTCGAGGATGCTGCATCCACCAATGTGAGTATTGCTGTGATCGTTTCCCATGGGGTATGGACACTGGAATACCTGCAATAAGACTGTAATCTTTTTTATGGTGTATGGACACTGAGGTGCCTACAACAAGTTTTATCTGACATCTGGACGGTTGAAATATTCTATCTAGATAAGTATCAAGTACTTCGAAGTACGGATTGCGAAAGGCGCGCTCCTTTGGCCGACAGAGAAGCAGTGTCACAGAATTGTACTAAACCTGCTGTGAGCCTGTGGCATATCCAACTATCATGCTCGCACTCTTATTACTAGCACATAATTATAACATGTACGAGATAGTGATCTTCACATGACTCTGTGCTGCCATTTTCTACGCTTCATGATACTATACTAATAGGAGATTTTTTCATCGTTTGAATACAACTACCTCCATACAATTTTAAAGTCACTCATGATGGATAGTGTTATGTCATGAGAGCCAAAGGGTGCATTCTAATAAGTGATATCCGCTATTTACCCCTAAAGAAATCTGTAATAAACGCTCTATCTATCCGGATTTTGTTGCTCCTTGCAGGGCTGCTCTATATTAAATCGTGCAGAATCAGGTACTGCAATTACGGAGAGCTCCTATGCGGCGATCGATGCAGATAACGTTAAAGCCAGCTCTAGTCTGGTTGCTATGAAGCCAACACAGGCTCAAATAGACAGTTGCACAACGAGTGAAGATCCCCAAAACCAATCCACCGAGGTAAGGGCAATTGACGTTTCATGCACTCGTGTTCTTTATTTTCTTATCTGTCCATTAGTTTGAGGGAAAGGTTCAAACGGGAAAAGCCTGAGGAAGTCTGTGTTGAATTGTTGACAATTTGGACTGGACTGGGTAAGCATGCTAGACACAGCAGCAAACCATGCCCTACGATTCTTGTAGTCATACGTTTGGGGGCTTAGTAAGATCCCGCCTTTCTGTCAGGATGGTTGAAAATCTCATTTGTAGACTGTTTATCCCTGCTCTCCCATTCCTATTCTTTTTTGCTGCATTGACTTTCCTCAGGCCACGGGGCTTCAAGCCGCTGCTGAACACAGCCACCTCGAATCAGTAGACAAGATGTTTACGTATGAAAGTGCGTTCGACATTCATCCACTACGGCCTATGAACCAGACGGCGCCCGTGACTTTCGCTGATGCTTCAATGGACCAAAGAACGATTCGAACCAAAGATGAGAGTGCAGATGACAGACAGATACCCCTGCAGGCCGTGACAAGCAACGGGGTTTACTGTCTGGCAGGTGAGCCTCACCCAAGTGTTGACGATGGTGCATACGAGAACGCTCTATCGCCACACCAGAAGGCTATGAAGACTGCATCTGACCAAGATTTCAATCCGGATCAGTACGATAACGTCAAGTTTGTGCCCGGAGCTGGGAAGCACCAGACGACGGCAGCAAATACAGTGGAGTCTGTTTACGACAACGAAGTGATACTTGTCAAGGTAAAACTTAATTCTGGATTTGCGTGGTAGCATTAAGAAGCTGTCAAATGAAAATGATAAGAGGAGATAAATTCTCTGCCCTCTCGATCTTACTCTCACCGTCTGACGCATATTCTTCCGCAAAGTCACAATCACCTTGGGTGGATAAAGGTGCTTGTTGTCTCGACTCTCTCTCTCTCTCTCTTTATCTCTTTCTCTCTCTCTCTCTCTTTCTCTTGTTACTTGACGTTCTTCTGTAGCATTTTGGTTAAGGAAATAACCTGACCATATTGTCCCTGCCCAGTTTCGAATTGACTCCAACATAGTTTTGAAGTATTATACGGTCGCATAACCAGATCACGGCAGATCTAATGCCGTTGTATGGACCTTGAATCATTCACAAGTGCTGAAGTTCAAACATCGCAGCGCATGCTACATCACATACACATACTATCTTGATTCCACCCTTACTCTTGGAGTATAATTTAGCTAGTATTTGAGACAGCTGAATGTTATTCAGTGTCTCATTAAATAGGCCTCTGGAAAGGAACTGCATCAATCTTGCATGGAATTTCATTTGGTTGCTCTACTCTTCCTACCAGATGGAGCCCACTGCTGCTAATGACCACACATATAACACTCTCAGGGAGGTAACAGAGCCCGTTCCAGTCCAGCCGACGTCACCATACGACGTATTGGATCGTTCTCAGGTTCCTGTCAATGATGTCACCCCCGAGTCTGGAAATCCACAATCACCTTGGGTGGGTAAAGCCGCTTGTTGTCTCGACTCTCTTTCTCTCTCTCTCTCTCTCTTGTGACTTGATTTTCTTTGGTAGAATCTTGATTGAGGAGATAACGTGAACATACTTTCCCTGCCCAGTCTCGAATGGACTCCAACATAGTTTGAAATATTATTTGATCGCAAAATCAGTTCACCGCAGATCCAATACCGTTGTGTGGACCTTGAATCATTCACAGATGCTGAAGTTCAAACACCTCAGAGCATGCTACATCACATACGTACTACCTCGTTTCCACCCTTACTCCTGGAGTGTAATATAGCTAGTATTTGAGACAATTGAACGCTATTCAGTGTCTCATGAAATGGGTCTCTGGGACGGAACTGCATCAATATTGCATGGAATTTTCATTTGGTTGCTCTACACTTCCTAACAGATGGAGCCCACTGCTGCAAATGACCACACATATAACACTCTCAGGAAGGTAACAGAGCCCGTTCCAGTCCAGCCGACGTCACCATACGACGTATTGGATCGTTCTCAGGTTCCTGTCAACGATGTAATTCCCGAGTCCGGAAGTTCAACAGAACAAGCCAAGGCGAATGCTCATCAAGACGAATGCACGTATGATAACACTCCACAGATAGCGAAGCATTGAATGTTCCTCTTAAAACTATAATTTCTCAACTTTTATTTTCATCTTTTACAATAACTATTAAAGCCCTGCTAAGGATCGAAACGTGTTCCATTCATGACAGGCACATCTGGTTTAAATATGTCGCGTCGCCACTGGCTTTTCCACCATGCGTGTAAAATTATATTTTACATTCCATAAAAGTACAACGCCCTATTCAATCACTTTTTGCCATTCATAAAGGTTTCAACACAAAGGTACCCGTGTTCATTTTTTAACTTTACATACACTTGAAGTTCTCTCCGTTTACGAGGAAACGTTAGGGGATTATGACATCATCATTCATTTTCTGTGGTCATATTGATTTTTTTTCTTTTGTCTCCCTATAATTCCGATGGAATGGTAAGTTTCTGTTTTCCCGATGACCTTTCATATTCGCCTGGTGTGTTCCCAATTCTGATTTTTTCCTCAGCTACATTTTCATTTCTTGTATCTTCCCCTAACTTATCATGCCACTCATCAGGGTGATGACTGTTTCTTCTTCACTTCTCCCATGCACCACTAAGTATACTCGTATCAAGGATATTTTCACAGCAAAACAGGGTTTGCCGGGTGTTCGTGGCCGTCGTGAGTTCCCTTCGAGAACGGACACAACATTTTTTTACAGTGGAGCAAGGCTAACATCTTGAAGTATGAGGCGTGAACAAAATTAATAGTATGTCAATGTCACATTTACAAATGCGCCGACCCTGCAGAACCAAGCAGCAGGATATCTAAACAGGTATTGCCGAAGTCCTTCTTTCCCTCCTCGACAGGGTAGGCTTCACAAAGCCAGAATGAAAGGGGGAATCAGTTTCCCCCTTTCAACAGGAATGCATTGGGCATAGGCAAGGAGAGGCTAGACGTGTAGATCTCCAAGGATGGCTACAATATCAGAAATAGCAAACATAAAGTGAATCCAAACATTGGTAAATCAATAGACACAGATTAATGGGGTGATACCTGTGGTGGTATTCATTAGCGAGAATCCGAACTAACGCACCCTCTGTGTCGCGATGCTGTGTGCTGCATTCAAGCCTGATGTCAGGGGCTTCCTCGCTATGTCGTCACAAAATGACGCGGGCCTGTTTTCGCTGAAAAGAAAATAAGCAAGTTATGCTTGCCCTGCTGTGTCTATTTGGACAACAGATCTTGCTTCAGCAGCATTCTGTTTGGGATTTTTTAGCTGAACCCGCAGTGAGCTAGCGTGCAAGAAATACATGTTATTGTGGTCCAGCAGCTACAATCTAGTGTCGCCTTTACGACTGCCATCTGTGGCTACGGTTGACTTGTAAGTTACTGCTGCACTACTAGGGTACGACATGTGGTATCCAGACGACCCATTATCCGGAAGGGTTAAGACGCTACTTGCACGCCGCCAATGCAAAGTAGATCTACTAGTATGTGATCATGTGCGTATTTTACATGACTAAAATAATATTTGAATCGTTTGCAGGCACGTATAATGAAGCTGCGTGAAGCGTCCTTCAAAATTTTAAGATAATATTATTTATAAATTATAATTATCGTGCATGTATCAGCCCTTTTGCACGATTTTGGATTTCATCTGAACATTTACCTTATCCAAAATCCTCCTGAACATCGTCTGCCCCAAAGGGCTACGGAAACAGATGATCTACTGTATACCAGTCATGCATAACACCACCCTATCAGAGCATATCTGCAGGATCAACAAATTCCTTCCTTTCTTTTCTAAAGCGGCTTGTCCATTGGCCTATAAATCGTTGGACCTAACGTTAGTTCCCGTTTATTGTGCGCATTGAAAAACACCAACCAACCAACCAATCATATACCTGCTGAGTAGGTCAAAACATGTCACATCAACGTTGTGTTTTCCTGACATACTGGCGCCGAACTTACTGAACTGCTTGGTCATGCTTGAATCGCCCTGATCACGAGTACATCGCGTGCACCTCATCTGTGCGTCTCTTGAACATAATTCTGCACAGTATCGCGTGTACGCCAGAAATTGCATAATTATGTACATCTCTCATATGTACATCCCTCATATGTACATATTTCGTGTACATGTCTGCTATGTACATCTCTCATATGTACATCTGTTTTCCACTCGGTCCTTTGAAACAAAAGCCACAATGAACGTGTGCCGTGCTTTGATTTTACTTTTTGATGTTGGCTTTTTCTTTAACCAGGATTTTCTGGAACGTTTAGGTTTGTAATACCATTCTTGTCTTCAGCTTTTCTATCATGGATCATCCTATCTCGCGCTGTCTCGTCCTCGGTATATGGATTGTTTTCTGGGCGCACTCAGACGCTGGAAGTACAGGTATGGTTTGGGGTCAAGGACTTACTAAGGTCTATGTCCTTGATGGGAACTTACTTTATCGTGAGATCAGAAATGACTAACTACTAAGAGGCAGGTGTCCGTTAGAACTGGTACACTAGTACCTGCATGATGTTCATGAATGTATTGTCCGGTGGTTTTGCCAGTATCGTCATCGACATGCATGAACATCCACCACCGTACTACAAAGCTGAGACTTTCTGCTCGTGCTTGTCTTGGTTGCGCTCACCTTCTCCTCCTTATGTTATGTCTATAACTTAGAACCTTCCAAGTTGGAAGGCTGCTGGAGTGCGCATCCAAGATCTGATACAGCTGTTAAAAGTGAAGCCAGTTAGTTGTAGAGCGTCAGTACCGTCGGTCAGTTTCGTGCAATGTTATCGTATGAGCTGATTGTTGAGTAACTGGTGGTGTTAGTGGACACTAGATTGTAACTTGTAGTTCCTTGGTCCTTTTTACTTCAAGTACTTTATATAAATATGTAGATTTGTTAGAGCTTATGTTCCGAAGATCACCGGTAGGAGTGGTAAAATTGTTCCGTTCATCCCTCTGTTCATACCTCTCAGTGTAACTCTTTTTTTCTTTTTCTTTTTTTTAGTGTTTATTTGAATTCGGATAGCTCAACAATACAGAAGTACAACTACAAAGAGTACCGAATAGAAGGCCCCGAGAACGGGAAAACCAAAAAACAACCACAAAAACAACAACAATTTACTGATTAGGCACATTTCTTGAAAGCAAATCACAAAAATGATTAAGAGTTAATTCAGCTGTCTCTTAGCCAAATAGTTGGACATGTCTCTCCACTTCGCTTGCTGTATGAAAACATATGTTCAAGCACTGCTACCGGTAAAATACAAAGTAAGCCATACCAGTACAGCACCTTACTTCCTTACGCCCACGTAAGTTCCGAATTTACGTCAGCCCAAGGAAGTAAGGTGTGGTTCCAGTTGGTTGTAAGCCGCAGCTCTACTAAAGGGGTGCGTTTTTATCTTCATCTGGATCTCAACCCCCTACAGGACCAACATTTTCATTTCAAAAAAACCACTTGTCACTGCAAAACCGCATTATGTGATTTTGACGATTTTCAATGTTTCGTTATCTACAGGATGGACACGTTGCACTTCAAATGATCCAAATTCTCAGCAGCTTGAAATGAAAATGTTCTCCCTGGAACTAAACTTCACCCAGGCTAAAGCCCATTGCGAGAGCCTTGGGGGAAATCTATCGAACACACAGAGTTCCGACGGGGAATCCTGCGCAGTGACTGCCATAGAGAGATGCACATGTTCCTTTCCGTCCGCTGCTGCGTGCGATCGGACTTGCAAAATTTGGGTGGGACTTACTAAGATCACTGGTGGCTGGCTATGGCTCACAGACCATACACCAACACAGAAAGAAGACATCGACTGGCTTGTAGATAAACCAAGCAATATCGACACTAAAAGGTGCTGCTACATAGCGAAGGACTCCGTTAATCGTTTCAAACTTGGAAATGAGGAATGCACGGCTACGCTCAACTTTGTGTGCCAGCGCTATTCCTCATCAGGTAAGATTCCACCTAGTGTATGGTACTAAACGCAGAGGTATTTTCCTGCTGCCATGTTGCTGTATTCCTGATCAGAATAATGATAACATTATTCCTGCCTGTGTCTTGAATTCAGCTTGCCTACGCAGCACGTATGCACCCAACTTAAACGAATTGCCCACACTGAAACATATATGACGGTATCAAGATAATAAAAGTGATCTTTCAGAGAGAACAGGGTCATCTCAGCCGCCCTTTGGTTTATTCCCACCTCATTTTTTCCTACAAACCCACATATCTCCAGACGCGGGGGTGGATAATGGAATGTGGTGGCGGGGCCCATTAAGCTCCGCCTACCAGGGGTCTCGGTTCCAGACCCCCGTGGACATACAAAGGGGAGATCGGTATATGATCATTCTTTTCCGATTTTCTTTCAACTTCATCCCCAGAAACAACTTTATCCACTACTGACTCACAGTTCTCCGCAACGACCAGGCACTCATCCACCTCGACAGTGCCTCTACCTGCTGGTACATCTACTGTTCCCAGCATACACACAGTCTCATCCCCTACGCCCACCACGCTCACTAAGTCATCCGCACGGCCAGAAACCTCTCAGATAACCAATTCAACCACCTCCAAACTGATGATATCCATCCCACCAACACCGATTTCACTGTCACCTGAAGAGTCTCCGGCAACGAAATTCATTTCCAGCACCCCATTAGCTCATTCGACGCCTAGACCAGTACAGGGCTCCACTGCAAAGAAACCCCCATTGCCTACAACACTTCATGTTACTCAGTTCAGTACCGTAGCAATACCGACCCAGGCTATTGCTCCAAAGCTGACTGCACCCATCGCGCAAGCACCGCACAGTGATCATTCCACTTCCTCCAGCAGGACAACGAAAACATCATTTTCTGGTAATCCGGTCTATTCTGATGGAAGGATGGGGCCAACAACTCATTATTTGGCATCGGTATCGAGAGGGGCTAAGAACTCCAATGCGTACACTGTTGAGTTTATCCCAACTGCTACCGCTGTTAATGGCGACAACAATCTGGTGAAACCTAGCAAGGAGGAGCAGTCCTCGACTACACCTATTGGTGTTAGTGTAGCCGTCTTAGCTGTGATCATCATAGCCGTTCTAATCCTGGTTGTATGGAGGAAACGTCAACAGGGGAAGTTTGGACGTGCGTTACAAGCCAGTAAGTATTCACCTACATGTATAGAGAACCAATATCCCTTTGTTTGGCAAGGCGTTGTTATATGAGTTAGGATTATGATTGTAAAAAAGGAAGAAATACATGATGCTCGTTTTTACATTAATTACTGGCTGAGTATCCGAGTTTAGATTGTGATTGTGTGGGTGTACTCTATGCCAATGTTATGTTCCTGTTTTGCACCTGGTCTTGAAGTAGTTGAGCACTCTCATGTCAGGAAATGCATTCTCTGTTTGCATCACGCAGAGCTCACTGACTTGTAAGTTTGACCACTCTGGCAAGGAACGGTCGGTCCGGGTTAATCTGCCTTTGGAAAAGATACTCATTACTATCAGATTCGGCCTCGTTTTCTCTGTGCTGGGCTGATGATTCCACAAAGGAAGAAACTGCTATGAACGAAGATTGAGTGTTCCTAATTCTATGTATATCGGCCCATTATTGGATGTATCAAATAGATTTGCCCCCCCCCCCCCCCGCCCACTTTGGTTCATGCCACATGCACATGTACAATGTAGATTATCAATGCCCAGGTAATGCGGGAACCCGGGTGACCAGGCAGCCACGAGCCTTCTCTCTACCTAGTACCTTGACTAAACAGTATGGTGAATGTACCAGTTTACATACATGTTCCAGCATTTCCTTTTCAACTGTTTCCCCTCTCTATATGGACAACGGTACACTGAGTGACCGGGCAATGAGTGGGTATATTACTCAACGAAGTTAACTATTCTACGGCTTTATTAAATGCTGAACTTCTCTTTCGTAGGGCCCACCGTACTGCACAATAACCTCGCCTCACGTACATGTACGGTAAGCAATCTTGCTTGTGTAATTTATCTCAGCACATGTTTCTAATGAGTTTGATACGGAAAATCGAACCCCTGAGTGTATTGAACGGGAACAAGGCATGGGCAATATTCATAATGCAGGCTTCCCCAACAATGTGGCCCAATATTAGGTAACGGTATCACATCACTTCTCCCCTTGCGTGCACACACTCCTCCCCTCTCTATCCCCTCCCTGTTTTTCGCAATCCTTTAAATTTCTTTTAATTTCCTTGTAGAATCCTTCAAATCAACAGCCTTCCATCGGTGTTCTAATTGACGAACCGAATCAGCTCCAGGATGAGTTCCAGGGAAATCTTGAGGATGATGCCACCGCTCGTGTGAGTATTGTACTCAACTGTTTCCATGGCGTGTGGTGTTTGGGATACTTTTAAATTTTAATTATCCTCGATTGTCGCTGCTGCTGGAAACAAAGAATCTTTTTATTTCTATGTCTCAAAAAAGATGGTGAGTACCTAGCTTGCGATCAACAAAATTGAATTCTACCAATACCACACTTTTGACTGTGTGTAACATCGGAACGTAGAACAAATGTATAATGAACGCCTCGCCCACACATCAATCAGACCGAAGAACTGAATTATCATCCAACTGCTCAAAAGCAACATTTCTGAACATTTCCACGAAAACCTCCATTACCTTATTAGTAGGTGGGTACTGGGTACCAAAGAAATCAAACTAATCACTAAAATTACTAATAATTATTGAGCTAATCCAAGGCCCTCGACCCGTCATCAAGAGCAGTAAAATTGCGATTGAGCGGGCTTTAAACTCTGATGGAGCCCTTGGCGGGAATTGCGCTGATTAGTCGTTTCCTGGACAACGAGACAGACCTCGTTCTAATGTACAATAGTGCAAATGACTAGCAGAATACCATCAGTTACCCGCAGATCACCCAGAGCGTGAAATGTGTATTTTTAATCTTTTCTTTCTCCCTACTGGGTGTCAATGTATACGTGATGATACTATAAGCAACAGTAAAGAAATAGCGAGAACAAAGACACAGAATACATCTTTGCACGATGGCCAGTATGGAGCGTCACAATTCCGAGTGTTCACTTCCACAGATCGCATCCCCTTCGTAACTGTTCGGTGTTTGTTTTTCGCTGCAGGACTGCTCCGTCCTTACTCGGGGAGCTATATTGGAGAGCTCCTATGCAGTTATTGGTGCAGAACGCGTCAGAGACAGCAGCAAACCTGCATCTGAAGGACCATTGAAGGGTGAGATTCGCAGTTCTGATGTTGGTAAAGTCTCCTCGAACCAATCAGATAGGGTAAGTCCCGCAACAGCTTCATGAATCTCTCCTTTCTTGTCATTGTATGTTGTGAAGAGGATATTGCCACCATCTTTCTTGTAGTTGATAGCTGCTTGTGCTGTGCTGAAAGGCAATCATCTATTCAGTGTCCTTTGCAGATGCTGCATTTCCTTGTAGAAAGACAAAAAGAGTAAATAGTGGAAGGGTGCATGCACATATCGTAACCAGCGATGGACCCACTATGGAGGATATTATTCTTGGCGGCTTGTTTTGGCAGAAAAATGATTAAATGCCTTATCGTCATGCAAATGTGATTTCAGCTGTTGTTATGTACGTGGTGTACCCAAACAGGCATGAAGCCTAATGCCAATGGACTATACAACTATTTTTGTTCAAGCTGCTCTCTTCATCTTTGATCATCATTAGTGACAGGACTGCGGAGAACGACTGAGTACCGAGATATCACGCTGTTTATTACTCATTAGAGTGTAATTTTGTAAATTTGTATTGCTGAATTATTCCCCAAAGGCTTCTCGCCGATCAGCCAGTTAGTTGTAGAACGTTAATACTGTTGGTCAGTGTCGTGCAATGTTATCGCATGAGCTGATTGTTTAATAAATGGTGGTGTTAGTGGACATTATAGTGTAACTTGTAGTTCCTTGGTCCTTTTTCTGTTCTATAAGCATAATAATATCCTTCATGTGTGTACTGTGTTTAGCCAACGGACTTCAAAGTCGCTAGGGAAAGCAGTAGCCTGAAATCTGAAGGCATTGCCTGTACATATGGAGTCGTATCTCACTTTCAGGGACAGCAGATTGTGAATGCAAAGACAACTGAGACTGCAGCTGATACGATGGACGAAGGAATCTTTCCAAAACCAGATGAGAGCGCGTATGACAACCAAATGCCTCTCCAGTTAATGAACACCACAGGATTATATTCCCTGGCCCAGAACGCTATGCAAAGTGTTGGTGATGGGGCATACGCAAACGCTCTTTCGCCACTCCAGCCTGCTACGAAGACTACAGCCGACCAAGATCTCAATGCGGATCAGTACGACAACTTCACGTTTGTGTCCGGAGCTGGCAAGCAGGGGACCACCTCAGCAAACCCAGTGGAATCTGTTTACGACAACGAAGTGAAACTGTCAAAGGTAAAGAATTATCATCGATTTGTCTAGTTGATATCATTAACTTACATGATCCTTTAAAACTCAGAAGTAGCGACAAACTCGGCCATTTGAAAATAATCTTAACCGTCCACCTCTCCACACTGCGCTCTCCGACGATCTTCCTCGCTATGGCGTGGTGTTGTAAATGTGGGCCAAGAGCGCAATGTGGAGAGGTGGGCGGTTAAGATTACATGATCCTTATCAACTTATCATGCAATTGTATAATTTCCTTACAATATCGCTGATAGTTTATGATACTATTCGTGTCTACTCGTTATGTTTCAGTCTAGTCTCCTCCAACGGTACAGGCGCCTGGTGTGTTCCATATACATTACCTGTCTTGGCTCTTTGCTCGACCTTCTATTCCTTTTTGAATGGGATTGGATACGAGGACTGTTTTGGAGTTCGTTGAATATGACTACTTGAGTAAAATGTTTGCAATTTCACTAGCAGCTTCTGGTACTCTATCGCTTGTGACGTTATGAGGGTACACTTGTAGTCAGGACCAGGGACAAAGCACACAGGTATAGAATACTTCCAATAGAACGCCAAATCTAGATCTCGTGTGTAAGTAGACAATTAAGAGAAGCTAATGGACTGATCACTTGCTGAACACACAATCAACATACATGAATAGGAAATCCCTCAGATCGTCGTTAGCCTTTGGGTAATGCTGAAAATTGATAAAGATTATTATATTATATCATGTTCTCATTGTTGTTCCATTTTCCTTGCATTGTGCAGCCAACTACCGCAGATGAACACACATACAACACCCTGCGGGAGATAACCGAGCAGGTTCCAGCCGAGCCGACGTCCCTATATGACGTATTGGATCGATCTCAGTTTCGTGCAAATGATGTCATTTCGCAGACAACCAATCCAAAGGAGCAAGTAGAGGCCAGTGGTCATCCAGGTGAATGTACGTATGATAGCACAAAAGTGATATGAAAGACTTCTCAAGTTCTTCTCAATGCTATCATTCCCATCCTCCATTTTTTGTGTAAATCGAATTCCCGTGAACACACACACGCGCGCGCGCGCGCGACCAGCACACACAAACACACAATCACACATACACACACAAAACACAAAACGTGCACACGCACACACTCACGCATACACGCACACACATACACACACACACAAACGTACAAACGCACCCTCACACGCTGAACACACACAAAACACGAACACAGCCATTTTCTGACAGTTCCCATGGTCAGCTGTCACCTTTCAGCTGTATGTTGGGCCCTGGTTAATAGAGCACTGTTTGCTCAATTTTATCTTCTCTCTATCATGAATTACAAACCTCACTCGTTCAATTCTATTGTAGATAGCATGCATTCCCTCTAGAGACTAACAGTAGCACTTCACCGCTCTCTTCAGAAATACAACAATACTTAAGCAGGAGATCTCGGCGTATACATGTAAGCCCATCATCGCAACCAGCGCACAAACTTACTGACCACATTTTCATCCATTCTGATGTTGTGTGTCGTGACTGTAGTCTTTATGAGTAGCGCCAATGCTCTAAAACATCCGAAAGTCGTACAACAGATTCCAAATGTTAGGTTATCGCAGCCGTACGTATAATTCCTTTTTGACAAGGAGTCAGTTTTGTGCCCCTTTGTCGCACTTGCTGAATGTATAATTATTATCTCGTGACATTGATGGACAGTTGGTCATAACTCGACACATGTTGTCCTTTCTTTTATTTATCCATGATTACATTGGCTCAACATCCCAGTTCAAATTGTTTTTTGCTTCTCCTTACCACAGTCGATAAAACGTGCATCACTTCGCCAGTGAAATTGTATCTCAGGCTTGGTATTATCGCAATAAGTGGCAAGCGTTAAGTAGCATAATTACCCATACATCGCCACATTTTACAGTGCTATCGTTGCTGAATGTCCCATCATATTCTCACCTGTATGTTTATCTCTTATCAATTACGCTCTTCTTTCTTACTTTTATCCTTGTTTTGTCACTCCAAGCTTATACATCCTATTGCTTTTTTTGATAATATCTTCAGTCACGAGTTTCCATTGATATTTTTTGTGACGAGAAAACTGGAACAATTTATTCGTTGCTATGATTGATATGGGTGCGCCTCTACAAGTAGTTTTATTCATTGAGTTATGATTATTGTAGTGCATTGCTCTTTGCATCCCTTTGGCAAAATTCTCAATTATGGTATTGGTTGAACACACCTGCATCGTAATATTGCTGCATTACATTCCAGATGACTGGCGGTGTCACTGATGCTCTTAGCCTGTCAAAGTCTTCATTGGCTTTACGTAATTTAATGTTTAATACGAAGGAGAATATTTATAGAAAAGAAAAAGGGACCAATGAGCTACAAATTACGCTATACTATTATCCACTAACACCACCAGTTACTCAACAATCAGCTCATGCGATAACATTGCACGACACTGACCGACGGTATTGACGTTCCACAACTAAGTGGCTAACAGCTCTAGCACTTGGTCCTTTATATTTCCTGTATTAAAACTTATCCTAGGCTCTCCAGCCAGTGAGAATATTCCATAGTGTTCGACGAAACATTTTCCTTCATGCACGCACATGCAGATTTTGCAATGGAGTTTGTGCGACAACGTGCATGGCATCAAACGAGATGATTGTTATGGAGTGGGATCACGTGCACAGATTCGCCACTCCATACAAGACATAATAATTATTATAATGGGTGCTTTCGATTACACGTTTACACAATGTTGGAACTGGTTTTTTAATTCTGGAATGACCAGAATGAGCAGATTCCGGCCTTGTAAACGAACGACTGGAATTCACAACGCATTTTATTCATGTCATGTCACCAACAAAATTGATGAATCGTAAAAAGAGATCACGTACACCCTCGCGCGCACGTGGACCCAGCATCGCGCACACGCCGGCCAGGGAGGCTCTTCGCGCGCTTGAGTCATGACCAGACCAGTAACACACCGACTGTGCAATTCTGGCGCCAGAATTAGAGAAATTCCGCCATCTCTTCAGAATTGACGGATTTGACGGAATTGGATAAAATCAATTCTAACGACGGAATTTGTCACTTTTTGTGTAATCGAACTGTGCATCAACAATAACTAATTCTAGAATTGACCGAAATGCGTGTAATCGAAAGCGCCCAATGTAACATTAGCCCTCTGTCTGGTTGTTAACTATGTACACAGTGAGTAGAGGCGAAGCTATTAGCAGCTCTGATTTCCACGTTACAGTGGATCCACGAATATCAAGCTCCTGGTGGTCCAAAGTATTTGAAGTACGTACAGTGTAGTCTTAACATACCTGTACATGTACTGGGAGCGGAGAGGTAAGGAGAACACCAATAACGGAACTGGCTCGAATGTGCAGCCCTATTGGAATGGGTGTTTCCACCTGAATTCCTTTCACCAATAACAAAGCATAATACCTGTAAGTTGACACTCGGAGAGAGTTGCCGTTGCTCATGACAGTGCTCAATACACCAATGTGCACAGCCGAGTAAGCAGTAAACACACCACTTGAAATGTTGCTGTCTGATGATCGGCTAAAACCGTGTAACTCAGAGTTACAGCAGAAACGCTTTTAATTCTGTTCAAGTGTGTGTAAATGTAAGTTGACGGATCTTGCATATCCTCTATTCACGTCTGTTTGTGAAAGTCGTACTTGATGCGTTTTCAGCACAGTGGAAATGTGGCTAGAAAAAGCCACATTCTCAATCTATACATGTACCAGATAGGTCAAGCGGTCTATAGCTACGTTCCATCACTTCCTGGTAGTGTTTCGCGCGATGATTCTCTGTAAAGAGGAAGGATGCGTCGTCGCTTTATTCCGCACGTTCATGCCGTGCCATTTCGGAGACCATTTCTGTAGTTTTAGCATCAATGGAGCTAATTCGTAGCGGCGAATATACGTGGCACTCAATCCTCTCTCTGAAGGCTGGTCGTCGAGTCAAAAGTTATTTTGAAGAAAACATCGAGTATGTGTTCCAGCTGGCACACTCCAACACTGCTAGGTGCTTTCCATTCATGCATTAGGCACATCACGTAGACAGAGGTGTAGAGAGATTGCCTCTACAGCCATACATGTACGTATGTGCATTCACCAAGGCCAGTCACTTCGAGCTCCGCTGACCAGACCAATCAAAGTCGAAACAACGAACTATCCAGAGAATAGGAGTACCGTACTCGCGCGATTAGAGCCCTCTCTCCAATAGTGCCCCAGTCTCCAAGAGCCAGTGAAAACATAATACTGTAGCCCTCTTTCAAATAGTGTGACTTGAAACTTTTTGAACATTGTAGGCTCTGTTTTTCTTTGTTTTTATGCTGGATGACGATAATGTACTTCTTTTAAGTATCAGCATTGACAAAATAGTGCCCTCTCTTGAATAGTGCCCCATCTGTGATAATCATACATGTAAATAGTGCCCCAGAGACACTAATCGCGGGAGTACGATAATTTACTTGAATATGCAGGCAAGTTCAGTTCCTGAGTATGTGGGCCCATAAAAACTGGAATTAGGTTTCTAGTGGTCAGGATATACAAATGCAGCTGTCAACTCTTATCGCCTTGCGTTGGGGTTGTACAATCAGTATCGCCTATAAGGTTGGCGGCTATAGTAATATACCGGCTATTGTGATCAGTTTCTTAAATTCATTTTCATTTCCCATAACTAAGTATACACAGTTATCCCGTATACATGTGGTAATAATCGTCTATACTATAGTAATACATCGCCTATAGTGATTAAATTCATATTTCAAAAGACCTTTATTACATTACTTTTGCATCGATCATAGTGATTGATGTAAAATCAAGTGGTGTCAGAGGAGAACAGGGTGTTACTTCTTCGTGAAGAACTACTTGCCCAGTGGTGTTTGGTGAGTTCTGCGTGGACAAGTTGCCAAATATGCCTCCATCCTGAGGAAATGCTGATGTTGTGTGTCATGAGCTGTAGCCAGCTAGCTATGCAGTACGTATGTGCACGGCGCCCTGAGTCATTTGACACCCCACTCGCACACATTGCATACAGTATTGGTCATAGTATATCGCTTATACAGTAGTGAGAAAGTACTCAAAATCAAACACCAACGCTATAGGCGATACTGACTGTATTTCAATTTTTGAACCTCTGTGTCTCTGTTGATACATCCCGAACATTCATTCCTTTTTCACAGGTGTACTGCAGGGAACGGCAGGCAAATATTATGTTGTACTGCTACTTAATTCCGTCCTCGGGATACCAAGTTAGAAGTTCGCGATATCAAACAGAAGAGTGGCTAGCACCTGTGCTGAGCTGATCTGAAGGTCACAAAAATGTAGTGCTATCGGTCACTGCGTGTGCCACCAGCGTCGAACATTGGCCCGCACCATGTGTTTTACATGTTAGTAATGTGCAGAGGAAGGAAACGTCCAACTAAAATAAGGCGAATTTCTAGGCGATGCGAATTGACACTAAGCGCGCTCATGCAAAATAGCCGTGGTTGGCTATAAAAACCCTGCAATCGCCACGCAAAGTGGTCATTGGCTACCCGAGCCATGTAGTGCTTGGAATAAAATAAAATAAAAACAAACCTGCCGGGATCAGGAGGGGTGGCATATGCAGTAGCGCTGTGAAAGACCGCCGTGACGCTAAACAGTAGAGCCACTGCGCTCAGTAATTCTGGAAAGATCGATCGCAGAAGAGGATGCTACTTTACAATTCATAGGCAGATCAGCAGCAGTTGCACCAATATCATCTTGATATCGAGACGTTCTGGTAGACTACAAGTAATTTATCTACCAATGGGGCCATGGAAGAAATTGTTTGGAATTGCTGGGGTCATGATGACCATTTGCTGGTTCATTGTCCCCACTGACACTACTGGTACTTCCTCTGGCCAAGTTGAATGTCTGGCGGGGACAGGAAAAGGTGAGTTCAGTCTGAACATTAAACTTGCACCGCTCTAAGTCCTGAAATATCTCTACATGTGAGCTGACTCAGCAACAATAGCTATAGAACATTGTTCCTGTTGATGCGCAGAAAACCCTACATCATCACAAAAGAACGTAGTCTCTTTGCTGCAAATGTAATAATCTCAGCCATAATCAATCATTTCAACCCTCAGATCTTGATGGTAGCTCCTGGCCGAAACATGGTTAAGATTTTTGAATTTGCAGCAAAGAGACCACTTGCAGTGGGGATGATTTAGGGTTTTCTGGGTTAAGGAGTTGCGGCAGTGCATCTTCCGCAACTGTTTCTGTAGTTACTGAAATACGTTTGTCCTTGGGTTCTGTGAGATCTATTTACTTCAAGTCACAAGAATTAACCCAATGTTCTCAAAGTGCTCACATTAAGTAGAGCTTTGTACAATTTCAAATGGTCGCTGTAGGTGGGCTAAGGCTAACGATTTGTGTGTCCTTCATGCACATAACCCAGGAAGTGTGCCCCAATGCTTGTGTAGGTTTTGACTTCGTATTTCTTGGCTGTAGTATATTGGTAGAATAGTACGATATGTTTACTGGTATTTTGGCCGAGGAGTTTGACACTCTGTACGTCAACTATAATATGATGTACAATCATCATGCACACACTTAAAACGTACAACGTACAGTACTCAGCAGGTATCCGGTTCTAATTGTTGAAGTAAATAATAATTTTAAAAATGCGTTTCACTTCTACTTGACACTTTCCAGCAGAAATGTTGGAGCCAGGTTTTGCAGTTTAGTTTTATGACAATACACGTGAGGGGTATTCTTGGTCTGGCTCCTTGCTTTTTAAATTATGAACCTACACTGGGTGCATCATCCAGTAAATTAGGGACATAATATGACGACACCCGCCACATACAAAGACACTGGCGTTCACTTTTGACGTCATCAAGCGGTGTCATGAGATTTATGTTCACTCCTGTCGCTCTTTACGTCGTATTCAATGTCGCCCCATCGAACCTCAACAACCTAGGCTTTACAGAGAACGAGTCAAAACAAGACCAAAAACAGCCCGTTCCTTTTAAACATGTAATGTTTAAACTCGACGAGGTTTAAATGATAAGGTTAAATCAACTGACCCCTTCCAATTATATTGTGCCATATTCTCCTCTTATTCCAGCGCCTATGCAGGTTTGTTCAACATGCAACGTTTCCGGTCCCGGTATCCGGGGACGTACAACCATAGAGTACTTCCATTCGAAGAAGAACAGATCATCGGCTATAATGTATTGCAAAAGGCTCAATGGACGTCTTGGCGACAGTCTAGGGAAAACATGTTTAGCGGCCAGGATCCAGTCATGTAAAGTCCACCTGAGCGACAATAGTTCTTTCCATCTAGACATGGGAGATCGTAGCCGTCAATGCGGGATGTTTGATTGGTCGTCAAAAACAATCCTAGCCGCTCAATGCAATATCAACTCCAACCTCAGCTTCCTTTGCCAGCGATTTTATCCGGATGGTTAGTTTTAGAAGGCCTCTTTCGTGTTTCAACAAAGCTATGAATAAAAACATAGATGTGTACATAATACCATGATGGACTAATGAAATTCAATGTGCAAAGAATAATCCATACACTTCTTTCCTCGATGGTCATCAGTGGATTTACATAGAAGAATGGTTGATAGAACAAACAAATAATTATAATTATGTGTTCAACTGTGCTACAATGTCCTAATTGAAAGTTACAAAAAATACAATTCAACACAGGTGAAACAGTGATTGTATTATCCCATAAAGTGAGAACAGTGTAAAAGAAAAGTTAGTGTGGGGAAATCTAGGTGTAGAGCGCGTAAGTGTAGTTTATGAATTATGCAAGAATGGACTCGGATGGAGAGCCAAGTGCAAATTTATAGTAAAGAAGAAAGGATCAAGAAACTACAAGTTACGCTATAATGTCCACTAAAACCACCAGTTACTAAACAATCAGCTCATGCGATAACATTCCACGACATTGATGTACCGTCCCTATCTATAAATTATAATAGAAACGATCGTCGTGTGAAACTGCTGCTTGTTACCGCTGCATATTGTCCATCTAAATTGACATAGTCGACGTACAGTGCTGTTTTATTGAAGCATTCGGTTTTGCATGATTCTGGTTCGCATAGCTTCCCTTTTTATTGATCTTCGCATCTTTGAGTCACACAAGTTTTGTGGATTGTTGCTTTGCGTCCTTGAATCGTGGTTTGTCCGTATTGTCCAGTGGTCTTGCCAGTACCGTCATCGACATGCATGATCGACATGCATGAACATCCTTCAACGTCCTTCACAGCTGAGACTTTCAGCTCGTGCTTGTCTTGGTTGGAGCTCACCTTCCCCTCCTTATGTTATTTCTATAACGTAGAACCTTCCAAGTTGGAAGGCTGTTGTAGTGCGCACCCTAGATGTGCTAGCGCTGTTAGCCAGTTAGTTGCAGAACGTCAGTACAGTCGGTCAGTGTCATGCAATGTTATCGCATGAGCTTATTGTTTAGTAACTGCTGGTTTTAGTGGACATTATAGCGTAACTTGTATTTTCTTGGTCCTTTTTTCTTTACTAGAAATATGAATTATGCATTGCAGATTTATGTCGCATTTGTGCATCATGGATGCAGTGAATGGGATTTCGGTCTTTGACCACTTTGTGGTGGGTCTGATCTACTCACCTCCCACCGTTTAGGAGCTGCATCTGCGCCTTGATCCAAGAGGGTGGTGGCGTTCCTGCGGATGCGGAAAACTGGGCCTTTGGCCGAGTCTCACGCGAACCGTGAAATTTTTTTTTTTTTGTGCATCATGGTATTATGTCGGCATCAATTGTTTATTCGCAACTTTGTTGAAACTTCTTTCTCCGAAGCCGCTCCTCCATAGTTCCCCATCTATTGAGTATTTTCACACCTGTCAACTAGATTTTGTTATGTGTAGTCACGGCATTATATCGTGGTACAGTATTCCTGTGCAATTGCTGCAGCTGAAGGCTAAAGCATAACTAATAATATTCACTATGCTTCAGTTCACTCTACGTGGCAGTAACGTAATCAAAACCTTAGAGCAACAAACTCCTCTGGAAACAAACACTTCATTACTTTTATTGAACAGCCTGTTAGTGTAAATAGAGCCCTGAACTCTGGAGAGATGGCGACTCCACGTGAGACTCAAACGTTGCCAATATCTTTTGCATAAAAGTGTTCCTACTTCAAACGTTTCCCCACTCTTTGCCCTGAATCTCATTGTTCCACTGAACCTTAGCAGTAACTCCAACCTGTATGACGACGTTCCTAGGCTCGCGTGCGTCCATATTGAAATCATACGGTATGTTTGTTTGTTTGTGTATATGTATTATAGGCATGTACATGTATGTGTGTGCGTGTGGTGTGGGTGTGGGTGCGTGTGTGCGTGGGTGTTCTGTATGGGTGCATGTTCATTCCAACAGTTCATGACACGTCCAGTGCTAGCTGGTTGGGTACTTCATGAGCTCGGAGTAATTCTCTTTGATTCTGTACATCACGTTCCTTTGCCATCACAATCAATAAGACTATTTCTTAAACGGTCAAATCCTATATAGGATTTTTTTGACATTTTTCAAATAATCATGACCCTGCTTCCGCCCAGGATAAGTTGTGTGCCTACATTTTTATCGTAAGGTGTTGCGGCAGTATAAGTAGGTTCTGTTCAGAAGTTTTCAAGGGTGCCAGTATTATCGCTTGACTTACTTGTATAGGGCCGTTTTAGATAGGACATGAGTTCTTTGTCGGATCCTATAATATAGGATTTGAGTGTTCTCCATTATCCAGAGTGTTGTAATGGATGCAGATGATGATAGAATGCTTAGTATGCTGAATAAGTACATAGATACCATACATACTCAAATCTGTGGACAGCAACTGTTTCGCGCTGTTAGAGCTCCTCAGCACAGCTCAGAGGACCGAAGCGCAGCTCTTCGCAATGAAATACGTTTCCGTGAAGCAAAGCATTTTTATAAAGAGCTGCAAACCCCATGCCATACCATACAATACCATACCATGCATAGATGTCTGTGGTTGATTGGGGAGCACTGCTACAGGTTGGCATATCTAGTGCTTTTAACTGTACCACAGCGGACGCTTCAACTCAAAAATTGGCCGATCGGCTTGAAATTTGGATTACTCCTACAGAAGTGTATGGGAAACAGTTTCAAACACCTCGTGAAAGCCATTTCATCCTTTTTCATAGGTTTTTAGGGAAATCCTTTAGCCAAAACCCAAATCCTATAATAAGGATTTGCCGGTGACAGTTTTTAAAACAGATACACAGCAGTGAAAAGTGAGATATTGGTAGAATAGAATACATGTGCAAGAAATTGAAACTGTCAATTAAAATATCAGTATCACCTTCTCTGACGAGCCTTTGATAGGCGAAACAGCTGTCAGAAGGAAATGTTTTACCCATGACCCCTTCCTTGTTTGAAGTTATTGGTGTGAGTAATGGCTACCGAGGGTAGTAATGGTCGGCTTTAGAGTGCATGGAGGAGGAGAGTTAGTTTCTTCTAAGAAATTGAAACCATTAATACATTTTCTGATCTGATGTTTCTGACTGCATATTCCCAGCACCAACATCAGTTGTCCTTCTGCCTGCTAACACAACCACTGTCATAGCATCAATGGCCAAGCGATCCAGGATAGCCAAATACTGCTTCAATCTCAGCTCAGCTAGTCAAACAGGATCTTCACAGAAACAAAATCCAATTCAGATGTGCGCCAACGTGTCGGGTGGCAATGTGGCGTTCGCCAACTTGTCTCTAAACACCTCGTATTGCGTATCAGCATTTGTGGTCACGCGCGAGAATCAAACTAGCAACTATTCTAGCCCAGTTTGCATGCTCACTCCACCTGCTGGTAAGCATTGCAGTAGTCATACAGGTCACGGATTAGACTTTAAAACACTTAGCTATGGTAGCTTACCCACGCACAATTCACTCACCACAACTTCACAGTTGTTTGTGTTCGTAGTTTGTCCCACTTTCATTCGGGCATTTCTGGTTTTTTAAATAGATAATTATTAATATATTTGAAGAAAGGAAAAGGACATATGGAAACGAGTTTAGAGTAACTCTCCATCACTGTAACCAGATACTATGTACAGTCAGAAAGTGCAACAACTAGACACGAAACTGAAAGAGTACTCGGACATTCGACGTCCTGACACCTAGCTTCAACACATCTCAGTTGCATGTCCCCGTGCTCTGTCAGTTTTCTGCTTAGTTGTTGCACTTTCTGACTGTATCATAGGTACAGTCCGTATCGCCTATAAGGTTGGCGGCTATAGTAATACACCGGATATAGTGATCAATTTCTCAAATTCATTTTCATTTGCCATAACTAAGTATACACAAGTATTGCGTATAGTAATTATCGTCTATAGTAATAATTATATCGCCTATAGTGATCAAATTCATATTTCAAAAGACCTTTATTACATTATTTTTGCTTCGGTTATAGTGATTGATGTAAAGTCAAGCGATGTTAGAGGAGAACAGGGTGTTACTTCTTCGTGAAGAACTTGTCCAGTGAGTGTTGTTTGGTGAGTTTTGCTCGTACAAGTTGCCAAAATATGCCTCCATCGTGAGGAAATGCTGATTTTCTGTGTCAGGAGCTACAGCCAGCTACAAGAAATTATGATGTATGTAGTGCGTATGTGCACGGCGCGCTGAGTCGTTTGACACCCCACTCGCATACATTGCATGCAGTATCGGTCATAGTAATATTCGCTTATAGTGATAAAATGCTCAAAATCAAACACCAACGCTATTGGCGATACTGACTGTATCTGGTTACAGTGATGGACAGCTACTCTAAACTCGTTGCCATATGTCCTTTTCCTTTCTACATTTATTATTAATATTGGCTCAACATCCGAGTTTCAAATAATTATACTCTTCGTACATTGACTACACCATCACCAAGATCGTCGACTTCTTTGGCCAACCAAACACACTTCCCAAACCACCAAAGGTTTCTTTTTCGGAATACTGAAAAATCACTCCTTCCACATGTATAAACAGTTGTGTCGGTCATTTGAGACCTCATCGGAGAAGGTTGCGTTGTTGTATGACTGGAAAAGGAAGCATTTGTTTTATTACATTTTACATTTACATGTACATGCCACTACATGACGTAGTGTAACGGTACGCATGTACATGTAAACTATTGTACCTTCCCTTCTGTTGTTGACACCCCTGTGCAGAAGAGTGGGCTGAATGCAAGACCACTACAAGGCTGGAAATGGGTGTCTTTCTGGGTGGGAAGTCCTATGCTGATGCAATGACTGCGTGCGCGACAGTTGGTGGAACTCTGGCTCAGCTCCACAAGAATGAAACAATAAAATGTGCAAAGTCTGCCGTACGGGAATGGGCTAAGCGCTATATTTCCGCAAGACCCACCAAAGCGCCCTTTAGAAGTACGCTGTGGAACTCGAACTGCAGGTTCTGGATTGGACAAAACTCAACCGCCACTGCTTTCACACCATCTACTCTTGGCGTAAGAACATTACACACATGTTTTAAAAAATCCATTTTTGTTTGAGAATGCATAAATTGATTGGTGAAGGTGAGAACCATGACAAGAGGATGTATGAAAAATTACAGGCAGAGCAGGTGTGGTTGTGTATGACCATCCATGGGTCATTCATCAGGCCACCGTAGGCTAGGAAAGACAACCTACAAATTACAAATCCTTCACTCCAGTTAGGACTCAGAACTTCTCCAACCAGTTTTCGGGCATTCTCTTCAAGTGGAATACAAGCAACCACAACCAATGAAACGTAAGGATAAAGAGCATCACAAGGTTGGTAACTATTACAACTAGGTGAGACATTATAGCGAGTAATTACACACACAACAGAGGCGAAAGGCTGTGTTAGCTGTAACTTAAAGTTTCACGCATCGAGCGATCATCAGACAGCAGCATTCACAGCATTCACAGTATTTAGCGAGTAATTATGTACAAAGGGACATCAACAAAATGAAAGAGATCTTGTAGTCCTATGCTTTCTTCGTTCATTTCATTACTACAGTGCTGGTAACTGAAATCCGACCCCTAAGCTGCGCGCTCACATCGCAAAGACAGTAAAACTACGAAACAGAGACCGCTAGAAAGTGGATGCACCGCTAAGGGGTCGGGTTTCAGTTGCCAGCGCTGTCCATGCTGTACAATCAACGTAAGAGTACATGTACTCGTCAAGATAAAGCCAGGTTCAGAACCCCGGTTACAACGGTCTATACAATATAGACCTTATTCGATAAACGTCACAATCACGTGAACCGGGGTCCCGGGAACCAGGGAGTGGCAAGAGATCTGCGCTCAGTGCACAGTGGACTCTGTGTGCGAACATAGGAGTAGATAAATACCGGTATTTTACTACTCTTTTGTACAAACTGGGCCTTTCTTGCCACTCGTTTCTCGTACGCGTGCCCTAGCTTATGACAAATCCCTGGAGGCGAGTCCAAAAGTCACGTTATCGAATAAGGTCTATTGTTTGCTCAGCTAATACAATGCCATTGTGCAAGGAATCCAGACTGCATCTAACCTTGGACCGAAAATAAAACAATCATATGGATGTTTTTAACGCGTTAGAACTTAGAACTGTACAAAAAGAGAAGAAACATATGAGAACGAGTTATGCAGCAATTACCCACGACTGTAACAAGATGATAAACAGTCAGAACATGCGATAAAAGGGCCCAAAACTGACAGGCTACTGAGACATTCAGCGACCCGAGATCTATTTAGAATTTCTCGAGTTCATTACATTCCTTTCCACTTATCCCGTTATCGGCCCTCTTAAGAGTTGTGTGTATCACTGTTGAGGCATCCGATGGTAAATAAAATAAATACTACTACTACTACTACATTCCCTGGAATTTATCTGTCAGTTTTTGTGCCTAATTGTGTCAATTTGAGTGTTCACAGTCTGGTATATTTGGTGGAGTCGACCACCTAACCGGTTTCCCAGTATATACCTCTTCTGCTAACAACTGCACGAATGTAGTAAATACAAAAAGTATTGTCCGTCACGTATTCACGCCTTAGGAAATCACAAAATGATAACAAAAAAAATTGTTGCCCTCGTTTGCCAAGAATGTGCATAATAATGTTCTCCATTTGTGTATCGTTCTCAGCACTGCCCGTATATCCAATACAACAGCAGCAATCCAAGTTCTTACACTAATATTACATGTGGCGATTACCTCAGCTACATTTGCCAGAGGCCAATGAACGGTGAGCACAGGACTTTACAATAGGTATCACTTTAAGGACAAGTGCCTTTCAGACGTTTCCAGGGCGTTGCCATAACTATAGGCATGAAAAACTGAACATCGTTCTGGAAATGAGTGACTGGCCCAAACGTCAGAAAGGTCTGACCGAATTTAGGAGAGATCTGCAAAGACAGTTCTTCAATCATAATAATTATTTACTGCAGCGGAATCCCATTGAATCTGCAGCGCAACGTCGTACAGGAACTTCTTTGGAAGTTTATCTCCGGAATGTTTGTCATCCTGCATGCTTTTCAGGGTTTTGTTGAAGTTCAGAGCTAGTTATTATTCTACATGACTGTACATGTCGTCATACATCCAGATCCAACGTCAGCAGCCCGGGGTACCATCACTACCATGCCCAGCACTACGAATCCCGTTCCTAGTACACCAGCTACCAAACCATCCACGGGAACGAGAGCAACGGGTAAGTTTTCCGCTACAAATGGAGTGGTTTTCTATGCTTTCAAATCATATAATGCGAGTGGGTTATTCTTTATTTTCTGTGCTTCTTCGCCTCGGCGCGATCCCAAACACGCACCTATCGACATACTTCTAGATACAACGACGACAGTCCAGCAAACCGTGTCCAGTACTACGAGCAGCATGCCAAGTGAAACGTCCGTCAAACCATCCACGGAAACAGGAGCAACCAGTAAGGTATCTGCTGCAAATGGATGCTCTACGTTGTCCCCACGGAGTTCCGATGCAACACCTACAGCAAGCACAGTGCCGAAAACAGAAGAAACCGCGTCTGTAAGTAACCCAAACGTGATGAATGCAACAGGAACACTAAACAACGTGACAACTGGAACTGTAGGAAGTAGTTCGCACACCTCGACACCAATGGCGAGCCGTACATCAACAAGCCCAACAACATCTCCACGGCCATTTCCCTCCATATATAAATCTAGCAGTAACGCAGATCGCACGAGCGTTCCAAGGTCCGATGTCACCATGTCCCCTCTCATGAACAACACGGGTAACACGGGTCAAGCTTTCAAGTCAACATCCAATGTCATGGATTGGATTTTAGGCGGCAGCTGTATTGCATTACTCATTGTGTTGGTGGCTGTCGGGTGCGTTCTCTGGAAAAGGCACAAGGCAAAGGGACAGTACCCGCTAGAAGCTGAAGGTAAGGCAACAATAATACAAGCTGGAACGACAGCACGTACAGGCAAATTGTAAATTACTTTGTAAGTACGCCGAAAACACGTTCAATTCCTTAGTTCGGACGCTCACAGTATTTGTTATATCCGTATATTGCCCAATGCTGACGTATGTTCGGATTAAAAGTACCTCGGATACTACGCACACTTTTCTGTTCCCCGTGGGGTACTTCTTACCAGATTTAAACTGTAATGCAGCATGAGTTACTTCACGATTTTACATAAAATTTGAGTTATGCTGTTCAATGAAACTTGGATAGAGAACCAAAGATTATAGTGACAAATATGGAAGATAGGAAGTGTACAAGACATCTATCAATATCCAACACTTACATTCATAATTTAAAAGGTATTGGTGAGCCGAAACGTGCGATAAGAAGCACGATTTGGTTGTTGATTGTCAGTATCGTGCAGAACACGCTGTGATAACGAACTAGGCAAATGTTTTCCCTCACAGAACCTGTTCATGTTCTTCATAGATTGAAATTAGATGCTGTGACCTCGGCGGTACTTGTAGAAGAAGGTGCCTCCTCCAAACGTTGCACCTCGTACTGCATGCAGCCAAGAATCAGGCGGTGGGCAGGAAGTGCGAGCTTCGACGCTTGTAGTAGCCAGCACCCTAGATCAATTTGATCAATTTGATTCATTGCATCTTCTTGATTGGCCAAGGTGCATCTTGGAAGTAAATTGAAATAATTCTCTCCATGCACGCGGAGCAACGGTCATGGCTATGCCTGCTAAGTGCTTGTGCATCTCACTGTCCTCCCAGGTAACTTAGTGCTGGAGAACATTCGTCAACAGGATGCGCTACACGACCCAGTGCAGGTACGGATATGCTATGCATTTATCTCCACCACATTGCATTGTCACATAGCAACCCAGGGACAACAATATTTTTACTCTAGCCATATCCGGAGCATTAGGCTTCCACTTCCCCATTTTCTACGAATCGTTATCAGGAAGGTTATTGCGCAAATGCCGATATTATAGCAAGTGTGCGTCGCTCTATATGGGCAAGCTGGTGTTTTACACAGTGCTGAAATACTGTATTTACCACCACTTCACGAGGTGCGACAAAGAGTTACAGTGTACGAGTTTTTCATTCATCTTTGCATCTTATTTCCATTTTTTACCCAGGATGATGCCGCGCGCTACGTGGTAACAGGTATGGTCAATGAGGGTTCTTATGCTGCCATCGGTGCAGATATAAACGTACGCAATTCAACAACGGAAACTGCCGAGAGCTATTACGTGAACGCACGCCCATCTCGAGAGGTATCACAGAGACAGAATGGTGGAGTTGAGGTAAATTTGAAAGAAGTGAAGGTTTTTTTAATACTTGAAGCAACAGATGATGCTTACATGTACATGTACATGTAGATAATAAATGTGGTAGCCTTCAATTTAACCCTTTGACAGCCGCCCCATACTAGAATGCGTAGAATTCTACGCATTCATCTCTGAAACTTCAACAGGCCATAACTCGGTCAAAACTAGCTCAAATTCAACAATCCAAATTTCTAGGTTGAAGAGAAAACTCTCAGCGTTCCATCGAACTCATCCGCGAAGCGCTGCGATCGGTTCCGGAGATGACGAACAAGCGTCAACCTAGGTGCTAACGGTGCCACCTAACAGTTTTGCATACTTCGTCACCATGGTAACGCCCCTTATGTAACAAGACCAATCAACACAAGCTCTCGACAACTCTGTCATTTCTCCTGCAGTGTAAATATTAGCACAGTTCAAAGTGTAGGCAGAGGTTTGATTCTGGTTAAACAAATTGGAATTTTGTGTTGATGAATTGGCCACTAATATCACTCATTGCTTATCACAATCTCCCCCTTCCCTACGATTGCCATGCATGCACAGAATCAAAATATATTGTCATTTGATCATCGCGAAAGCTGCCCAGAAACAGCATCAACAAAAGCAGAGACAACAGGAGCGGCAAGGGCAGGAGGAGAAGCACCTGTAACAGCTAGAGCTGCAGCAGCACCAGTAGAAGCATCAGCAACAGCTTCCCAGTCGGCCATCGGGCAGTACTCTTTGATCAGGTACGGACTTGCTGAAGACATGGAAGAGTGTGCGTACGACAATCACATTCTTCGCCGACCACCCAGTCCAAGGTTTGGACAGACTGCATCGCCATCCCCGTACGAAGATCGCTATGACAACCATCAGCTGTTGCTCATCACGGGTTTTGGTCCGACTGGCGTCAACGTATCACCTCGTGCAAGCCGTGTGGATGAGGGTCTGTATGACAACGAGGTCATTCGTAGTCAGGTAATCACCGATTCTTTCATGTAAAATCAACTCTTTCGTCATTATTTGAGATAAAGTAAGCAAGCATCCACTTGTCCAGGCAATAAAGCAGTCTCTTTCTATCTCTCCTCTCTCTCTCTCCCTCTCTCTCTCTCCCTCTCTCACTCTGTCTGTCTCTCTCTCTCTCTCTCCCACGTTCTCTTTCTCTCAATCTATCTCTCCTCTCTCATCATGCATGCTTCATACACTTATGTAATATTTCTTTACTTCGTCTTCTTGAGAGAGGTTGGACAATCCACTTGTCCAGGCAAGAAAGCAGCAATGCCTGCTCACTCTGGCGAAGTAAAATAGAGTATACCAACCGACCAACCAGGTCTAAACTGCTCTTATTGCAAGGCATAGGAACGCGCTTGAGCTAAAACACAGTAAAAACACAGTAGATGGTATTTGCTCTTTTGTCGTACTAGAAGTGTCCTTACTAACGTCATCACGGTAGCGAATTCGATTCCCAGGATGTTCTACTTTACTTGAAAAGCACATAATCACCGGGTAAGTTAAGTCACTGAAAAAGGAGAGCAAGCCAAGACCATGGAGAAAGAGTGACTGATGGGAGATGGGAATAAGATTCGTCAAGGGCAGCGTAGGGACAGTGGTAATCTCAACCCCAATGGATCCATCTGGTATTGACACATGGCTATGGTTAGTGACTGCCATGACAGTATAAAGGAGCGAGGGGACATGAGCGCAGCTTCACCATTGGAATCAGTGCATTTTTCGCAACAGTTTTGAAGCTTTCATTACAGGGTAAGCTCCCCCTCCATAACATGGATTCGACTCCCAAGGGCGTGTAGTCGCGTACGGGTTAACTGGCTGTTTAGATTACCAAGCGTCAACCTAGGTGTTAACTCTGCAATCCTACTGTTTCCATACCTCATCACCTCCATGAGGTGGAGGTGGAACTACTTGAAAGTTATCATATTGATCAACAGGCCGACAGTTGCGGCTAACCCTCGTGTAATCACCCTTCCTTGTGTCAATTCTCCTGCTGTAGGCAATTGATGTTCGCCTAACTCAGTACATGCAAGAAGATCGATTCTTGTGAAGTATTTTGAGACTTTGATATTGTGCGGTGATGGCTGCGACACTAGTACTATTCTTTCCTAGTCACAATCCGCCCCCCCCCCCCCCTCCCCCAAGTTTGCCACTCACAAAGCCAAAACCTACTGTACATAATCTGGTATACACCGTGTCCATTCTGCGCCAACAGGTAGCTATAGAAACGGAACCAGCATCAACAACAGCAGACACAACGGAAGCAACAAAGGCAGCAGCAGAAGCACCTGCAACAGCAACAGCAGAAGCACCGGGAGCAGCGGGAGCTGAGATAGCTCCAGTAACAGCTGCAACTGGAGCAGTAGCAGCTGCTACAACTTCCCAGTCGGCCATCGGGCAGTACTCTTTGATCACGTACGGACTTGCTGAAGACATGGCAGAGTGTGCGTACGACAATCACATTCGTCGCGGACCACCCAGTCCAAGGTTTGGACAGACTGCATCGCCATCCCCGTACGAAGATCGCTATGACAACCATCAGCTGTTGCTCCCCAAGGGTTTTGGTGCGACTGGCATCAACGTATCACCACGTGCAAGCCGTGTGGATGAGGGTCTCTATGACAACGAGGTCATTCGTAGCCAGGTAATCACCCGATTCTTTCATGGATAAACTATGTACGAGTCCTCGTCGTAAAATCTACTCACTGGTTTAAGAAAAAGATACAAACGGGAACAGTCTGAAACAAATTGGCTGTCACCACCAGGACTCGAACTAGGAGCCGTCGCTTGTAGCCAGCGATGCTCCAATCACTGAGCTATGGTGTAATCGTCATCCCAGCAGAGACCGTCTACTCTTCGTCAGTTTTGGAGATAAAGTATGCATGTTTAAACTGTTCTTATTGCAAGGCGTAGGAACAAGTTCGAGCTTTTTTTATAGGTCAAGCACAGTAGATGGTAACTGTCCTTTGTCGTACTAGAAGTGTCCTTATTAACATCATCACGGGAGCAAATTCGATTCCCAGGATTTTTTACTTTACTTGAAAAGCAAATAACCAACGAGTAAGCGGAGTCACAAAAATGGAGAGCGGGCAAGACAAGACAATGGAGAAAGAGTGGGAGATGGGAGTAAGATTCGTCAAGGGTAGTAGGGACAGTGGTAATCTCAACTCCACTAGATTAATCTGGTATTGACACCTGGCTATGGTTAGTGACGGCTAGGACAGTAAAATAGGAGTGACAAGATATGAGCGCAGCTGGCGCTGCTCGGCCAAATCATGCTCTTAGAATCAAGGATTCTCTAGTGACTTGCAAAGCCTCCCATTTACTCTCCCAACTGTATTGATCCAGAAAACACGGTGTTGCTCAATAAAATCCGACCAAGCGAATCCGCTTTGCGCCCGTAAGAGAATCCCAGTGCTCGCAGGTCTGGGGCCGCACAGCGCCCAGCAGGTGCTAGACCCATCGGATCGGATTTCATAAAGCAGCACTGTACAAATCGTAGGTGTGGATGCGAAGACCATTATCTTGGCAGTCTGCAGCTAGCTGTACACTTCTCTATGGCTGTCTTACGTTGCAACCTCATTATTTTATAGTTGGTCTCTTTTTGGTCTGTTACATGTACCTTTGCCATTCACTTCCCATTATTCATGACTTATTGGTCGTGTGGTGTTCATGTTTAAACCACTACGGTTAGATGTTCAACTATATGCATAGTGGTATGTCGTTTTCCGTTATGTGCCTTGATATGTACCAAGGGGTTATGTACTCTTGGGTGTACCCAGTGTAACTCACTCAGAACGTACTCTGGTAAGACATACACTTGCTTAGTACGGATATTGTCCGGGGCACGAGTGCGTTTAGCCAAAGTGAAGTATGTTGGGATAGGACATCCCTCGGATACTAAGTACACTTTATTACTGTCCTTGGGGTACTCTACATCAGAGTTCTGCTGTATGTTTAACCATGTACGCACTTATTTGTGTGTTCAATAATTCACACACACGCACACACACACACACACACACATACACACACACTCAAACACACACACATACACACAAACACACACATACCATGCACACATACACACACACACGCACGCATACATGTACACTCACACATACACACACCTGTCTTTGTGTATTCAGATTGTCAACAAGGACGACCATGCACATTACAATACACTCAGGGAGGTATTGGATACCCCGGAAGAGGAGCCAGAGCAGCCATACGATGTACTGAGAGGCCCAGTGTCTCCTCAACATCTAACAGAGGTGAGAGACCGATGGCACTGTAAATGTATTCTGAACATTCAAAAATTATAGTATTTCTTCGAATCGACTACGGGGACGGCGAATTGAGCAGTCGTAGGCAGCGTCTTGCAGCCACATTTAGGATCCCATTTTGGAAGTCCTCTGTTGATGTTTTCTTCAAATATGCATGATTCTAGGAGAATGCCACATACTATTGTCTCCTTACGGAACACGCGAAAATGATCTGGCGAGGTCGCGAGGCGGTACGATGCAGGAAAAGGGCGAATGGCTGAAAGTATGCAGTGAAATTGTCACAAAGGCTGAAGATTGTGTCGTTATTTACGAGTTGGTCGTATACCCGAGTTCGTTATTCACGAGATTCACAGTAAATTCTGGAATACTATTTATGTAGATATACGAGCCCTGCAATGGACCGTATGCGTGTTAAAACAAAATGGCGTCACGATTTATTGAAAGTGGTATAGTTGGTGGAACGAGTGTTCAAACCCATTTGAACTTCATACTGTTCGTCTTCTTTTTGACATGCTCTCTTTCCATCGTCCTTAGCTTTTGTTTGTTGAGAGCTGTTTTGGCTTTCTCCTATACCTCTGGGGGATGCCAAGTGATGGTTTGAGACAGGGAGTAGTAAAATACAGGGAGGCGACACGCCACTAATCGTGATTTTTGATGGGTGCCTCGCGGTTGTTTTTTTTTCTTTCGCAAAAAAAGATGATCTGCTGAATCAATCTTGAGTATTTGTCGAAGAACTAATTCCGTGAAAAGCTCTATCCATCTTATGGAACAGCATTTGTTTTGCTCTTGTGATACATCTGTGTCATCGTCATATGGAAAGGTATCACCTTTCCGAAATTCGTCCCGATCGACGGCATGGAACAATAGAACGAAGGTGATTTCCTTGAGAACAATACGTGTACGATTGGAGATGAAAAGCGAGTGCACCGATTTCGAAGTCGAAAAAATCTCTAGGACACCACACGATCGGCACTAATTTCTCCTCAGTTGTGATCAACCAGTACTTCTCTACCTTCTTTGTGATGATGAGCATTTCATATTATGGTATGCTAGAGATTCGGGAGTTCACTTTTCGGAATGAAATGTTCCTAAGTATGGCAAGGATTGAAATGCGGGCTACGTCGTCGTAAACAGCTTGTATCGACACAGGAAAAATCTACGGCACGCAGGGATATCTCCCAAAGTGATACCACTCTTGCTGGACTTCTATCCTGACATAGTGGTAGTTTGGTCGAGTACCAAACTTTGTAAAGGCAGACAATTGTTGGAAATTCTCAGCGCTGGCTGCAGTAGGAGTCTCTTTGGCGGTAGGTATTTTACTACTCCCTGATCGAGAGAATCCTGATCCGCGCGCGTGTCACACACTTCGGTACCCATAGTACCCCAATCTCACCCGCCGGGTGAAAACGGTGCTGAGGCAATCGTCAAACTGGCCGTACATGCTCGTGTCACCTCCCTGTATTTTACTACTCCCTGGTTTGAGAGGCTGGTGATGGCTGTGAGCGAGAGTTTGCCGATCGGCGTCGTCCTCGCTATAGCGATGAAAATACTAGTTACTGCGCACCTGGCAGATATCACAACACGTCGGAGCGTCCAGGAGCAAAGGAATCTTGGGTTTTCACTGGAATCTAGTTCCTCCAGCATCGTGTAGCCCACTGTCGGTGAATGGCGGTCCAGAAAGGTCGAAACTGGTCTTCTGCAGCATCTCGCAGTCCTGCGAGGCACACTGAATTCGCCTGTCATGTATTCTACAAATAAAAATCACGAAGTAGTGGACTTTACAGTGATGAGTCTATCCTGTATGCTGCAAAAGACGCAGGAAATGTGACTGGTGTCCGTACACTGGACGCCAATATCATCCCAGTCTTCTCCTGCAGGATCTGTTTGACATTGACATACCGGTATGCAGTGGGTCGACATTGGCCTGGTTTGGCAGCTATCTGCCTGGGTGGATGTAGCAGGTTTGCATTGGCGCGTCGTCCAGTCCGACATTTTCTTGTAACTGTGGAGTACCGGCAGGGTTTGAGAGGTTGCTCGTGCTGTGAACACATCTCTACTGCCTGTCTCGTCCTGGAAGTGCCGTCTCGCCGCTTCCTTGCTCTACAGTCACGCCGTTATTTCGCTTTGTTTCGTGGTGCAGCTCAAAACCTGCCCAAACAACTGTGAGCTCGCAACATGGTATGGACAAATTGCACCACTCATGCTGGTTAACTAAAACCGGGATAGTCGAGTAAGCGAGTTCACTCCCTGGGCCATGGCAAGATCTGTTCAGCGCGGGCTATTCCAACCTCCAAGTGCATAGTCACCGATCGATCCATGCGATGGTGGTTGACCTACAAAGAGCCAAGGTCTACGAGTACTACTATTGGATGCTGTCTACATGCAGTCAACAAAATCAAAGTACCTCAGTATGCCCCAGAACAGGGCATGTGCATCTATAGCATGACACAACAGGGGTTCTGGCGGCACCTGTCAAACAAGCAGTAGCGACTAGTGCCAGCTACCTATTGGAGGCTAGCCGCTACAGTCTGTCACTGGAGATAATTATTATGTTCACTGTTTAGACTGAGCACAATCAATGATGCCCAATCAATCTGCCCAATGTGTGTTCTGTTCCACCTAATTATAACGTCCCATCGCATCAACCCTACTACACGCACATGTCGTCACTCTAGCACGACTTGTGTTATTATTGTTTATTTTGATTCGCACGATAAATAGAGCACAATAAACGTTAACTTGACCGAAGGTTAAAGGCGACTGCAGATAGAGGAACACATCGAGGTACAGGTACCGGCATCAATACAATATCAGAGAGGTACGCAGAAAAAACTCTCGTAAGCCCAAGGGGAAGTGGTTGATGAGGGATGAATGCACTCTCCACGCTCGTCTACACTGTTCGTGGAAATGCACACATACATACAATAATATACAACATAGCAATAGCATGCACAGAACCGAACAATTTCATGTTCACACATGCAAGCACAGACCTGAACATTAGTACCAAAAGCCGATACAGACAATATCCCCATACACACAGACGCACACACACACAATGTCCCATGTATGCGCCCGTGGCGAGAAAAGCACGCAAATCTAAAAATGCACTGGATGTGAACCCACAGATTTTCTCTAATAGCAATGATAGCGGATCTGATTCTGAATGAAACACACACACAATACAATTATTGAATGCCCATCCGCAGATGATGGCAGGTCCTGAAAGAACAGGCAGTGTTCCAGTGATGGGGAACAGAACTTCGAGTGGCGAGTGAGGTATACACACACACGTGCGTGCGCGGGCACACACCAAAGTATGAAGAAATAGAATCGACATCGTAGTATTCATTGGTTGGGGAATGGAAAGGAAAATAAAACATTGCTGTAGGTTATTGTTGTAAGGACACTGGGAGCACAACAGAAAGGTAAGCAACTTGCTTTGAAGCAAAGAAAGTTATTATTCCACGGATCTCAGAAGGAAGGAACGTTCCAGAATGCTGCACTGGCAACAGGCGGCCTGCATGTGCGCGGCCCCTGCAGTCGGTCCAGCTGCCGGCCTTGCAGTGCTGAAAAGAATGTGCAGTACAGCATGTCACATAGTATCGCAGCCTGGACAAATAGGCGCTGGGAAGTCCTAGTTATGTGCTCACCTACACCACGATGCACCAATCTTCTGAGCTACTTTGGCAACAATTTTGTCCACTTGAGACTCCCATGGGCTGAGCCAGTTGTTGAGGGCTGCATCAAGGTGGACGGCAATGATCGCTGATGGCAAGGCAATCCATGACACACAGTCACTAGGGCATCGTCAACATGGCGCTGAGGCTGGATCGATAAAATCAACCTTTAGGCACCCGCGGGGTTGACAACGAGGCCGCTGTCTCGAAGCTAGTCAGTCAGCCTGGTCACCGCCATTGACGAACCAGTCGCCACCGCCAGCAGTGGCGGTAGGTTGTGACAAGTATGGTGCAATATTGTCAGCAAATTCAGTACTCAGGATAAGATGAGTGACAAAGGGAACGTTGTGTTTGATAATATTGAAGTGAACAGGGATGATCACAAACCCTGCGCGTACTCCACCGTGAGTTACAAGAAAATTCCGGACTGGACGACGAGCAAACACCAACCTGCTACATCCAACCAGGCAGATACTATAACGATAGCTGCCAAACCAGGTCGTGATGCCGACCTACTGCATAATGTCAATGTCAAACAGATCCTGCAGGAGAAGACTGGGGTGTTGGCGTCCAGTCACTGAGTGTACAGACACCAGTCACATTTCCTGCGTCTTTTGCAGCATACAGGATAGACTCATCACTGTAAAGTCCACAACTTCGTGATTTATATTTGTAGAATACATGACAGGCGAATTCAGTGTGCCTCGCAGGACTGCGAGATGCTGCAGAAGACCAGGTTCGACCTTTCTGGACCGCCATTCACCGACGGTGGGCTACACGATGCTGGAGGAACTAGATTCCAGTGAAAGCCCAAGATTCCTTTGCTCCTGGACGCTCCGACGTGTTGTGATATCTGCCAGGTGCGCAGTAACTAGTATTTTCATCGCTATAGCGAGGACGACGCCGATCGGCAAACTCTCGCTCACAGCCATCACCAGCCTCTCAAAACCATCACTTGGCATCCCCCAGAGGTATAGGAGAAAGCCAAAACAGCTCTCAACAAATAAAAGCTAAGGACGATGGAAAGGGAGCATGTCAAAAAGAAGACGAACAGTATGAAGTTCAAATGGGTTTGAACACTCGTTCCACCAACTATACCACTTTCAATAAATCGTGACGCCATTTTGTTTTAACATGAATATCGCGGATTACTGTGCACGAGTGGAAATTCAATCTTTCCAAAATTTCGATGTGTCAGGTATTTCTCATCTTCGCATCCATTTGAGTATAGTGTAATTGGTTTTTCGTTTGTTTGCCCGACAAGCTCAAGCTCCTAATATGGAACTTACGGTATGACCTATCCTGTGTTTTGCAGGGACATGATACACTCCCAACTGGTGACCAAGGTGGAAACGATGAGGGCCTTTATGACGTTCCTCGTTGAGCAAAGCCGTCACCCTGGATAGACGATCATGCGACGTGTATCCGCTAGGGGTGTGCGGATAATGCTCGAAAAGCAGTAAAATTGGCAGAACCATACAAACCTTATGGCGGGCAAATCCTCGAATTCTGCTCCATTTCTTTATCCACATACCAAACATGCATGAAACTTACCAGAAAAAGTACCGAATTCTGCCAATTTATCTGCCGGCATTATCCGCATATGCCTAGTATCCGCTCTCTTTTTCAACTACTTTGCCGGTTTACACCATTCTCTTTATCTCGTAGTAGCCTTGCTAAAGCGTTCTCGGACATACATGTATCTAACACACACAGACTGTGAATTTTTTTCTCGTATTTAGCCAAGATTTTGATACAAAAGGCATTGTGCTTCCAATGTTCTACATGCATCCCCGAGACCATTAATTTTGCTCTAATGCCCGAATTCCCACGCTTCCTGCGACATGTTTCAATATTCACGGCAGTCATGGTACGCCGCATACTCTCTCTCTCTCTCTCTCTCTCTCTCTCCCTCACTCTCTCTCTCTCTCCCTCACTCTCTCTCTCTCTCTCTCTCTCTCTCTCTCTCCATCACTCTCTCTCTCTCCCTCTCTCTCTCTCTCTCTCTCTCTCTCTCTCTCTCTCATTCCCTCTGTCGTCCACATGTATCAAAGGAGACGAAACCGCCGTTTGTGTTGCAACGTTAAATAAACTTCTACAACAACAGCAACCTTCCCCTCTTTCATAATAATAATTGATGTTACCGTCTGCTTTAACTCAGCCGAAGTGCTCGGGATTTCATAAGGAAAATACTGAGTCCAATTGGTTGTCCAAGTTGCCGAATAAGTATCTCCACCTTGTCAGGCTGAAATAGTGTTCATTGCCACATTGATTATGCGTTGAATCCATTCTGTTCGTTTGGGAACACATGTGTCTGAAATACATTATACATACATGTGTAGATCGTCAATATATCGCCAGATGTGTTATCATCACCTTGCTCGCATTTTTATTGATAACGCATTGCAATGTCATGTTGTACTGGCTACATGTCCATGCTGAAATGAAATAACTACCGGTATAGCACGTGTAAGAACATGGATGTGTGCCCGTATCCTCAGGGTATATAACCAATTCATGCCAGATGAAAACTCAAAACACAAAAGCACAGCTGTGGGAAGGAATTATAGCGCAGATTAAGATCATTCTTCTGCCGCGGCCTTTTGTGACCAGATGCAATCCGGCCGACGGTGGACGTCTATCCACGTTTTGTACAGCAAGAGAATTGAGGACCTCAGTTGAAAATTTTGATTCATGTAGATTCTAGCTAGCGTCTGGTATCCAGGTGGTTGATTGTATATTATCCATACGTAGAAACTCATAGACAATGCCAAACAATCCATGGCAGCTGTGGACCAAACATGAGGACGGATATGCAAAACACCATAACATATTCGGCATACAAAGTAAAACAGCATAACGTTTTTCTATACTGCTGTGCAAGGGCCAGCTGCATGCAATTCGTGGCTGGCAAAAGACATGACTACTGGCAGTGTCGCGTGCACCTAGTTCTCAAACCATTGTATGGACGCAGTCGTGTTACTACATACACACCAGAGGGTCAGCTAGAGTTCTGCACAATAGGCTTGTTAGCCAACCGGTATCAGTCTATTTCTGGTATATCCCAGTCGATTCCGGTTAGCCTGAACCGATACGAAGACCACAATTGCGGCGCCACGTGGCGAAATTCAGCACAGCACATCATAATGCTATTTTATATTAGTAATGGATCTTCTTCAAGGTCGTCTTGTCTAGTTGTAGATATCCAATAGTCTGTAGTGTGCATGTGAAGCCAAATGTCCAGGAAATGATAACACTAAATCGCAAATTGCGCAACTATGCAACATGAGGGTGGGGTAAACATGAGGGTATTTTGCATTCAGTACCTTCATCTGGTGATAAAAATCGTTGCAGTAACATTGTGTTGTGTTGTATAATTGAAATTCATAATTTAAATAATTTATGTTCCCCAACGGCGCCATATCCCAGCCAGATTTAAATGCTAGGAATAGCGACAGTTCAAGGGCGCACACGAACAACGCTTCAAACACGTGGACTCCAAATCCTCGATATCTGGGTAAGCTCCACTGTTCGTATTCTCTGTGAGCAGTGATAATATGCAACGCCTGCCTGCAACTCAATGGTAACTACTTCAAAGAAGAAAGCATGTTCATTTCAGATGACAATAATGTTTACTGGGTATCTACACGTCCACAAACGGTTGGCCATCTTGAACACTATGGAGTGTGGGCTTGCAGGGCCCACGGGACTACCCAAGCGTAAAGATGTCCGGCAATAGCACCAGCACCAGCAGCGGCAACGGCAGCAGAACCGTAAGCAACAGCAAACACCCTAGGCACAACACGCGGCAGAGGTACTGTACACGGATTGCACACACCCAGCTTGTATTGTATGCCATCGCTGATACAGCCATTGAGCTACGACAGTTTGGGACTTGATTTGCTGTAAGGCATTGCTTGAGCTGCTCCTGCAGCCTACACCCTGCGTTCCATGGAACAGTTGCGCATGGCTCGGGGAAGCGTACCACGGAAGCCAGCACATCCGACGTCCCTGCACTTACACAATTCGGAACCAGCGACCCTATCCTAGGCGACATGGGGCACTGATCGCAACATTGGCCAATCTCTGACTGATTCCGGCGGGATTTTCTCTGAGTATAAGTGCAGCATCACACTCTTTGCCGGCCGGTTATCGTTATTTCTAGCACAGTGAAAGTAAGAATGGCTAGAAAAGGTGACACGGCGGCGGAGAGGACAGCAGCCCTTCAGCTCTTTGGGATCGTTCTGATGTTGTCAATGTCGGCATTAGGAGCAAGTCTATCGGAACCCGAAACAGGTACTGAAGTAAAATTAATACTGGTCTTGGTTTATGACCTTTCCCTCTCCTTTTTAAAATTAGCTTGGCTGTTCTTGCTGTTGAGTTCAGCAGAGCAAAACTGTCACCACATGCGGACATAAGCGAGGGTCCCTGGTTCGAGTCCTGGTGGTGACAGTCAATTTGTTCTTTTGATGTTTCCCGTTTGTAACCTTTCCCTCAAACTAATGAATACAATGCGGACATACAATGTAGATCTGTGTCCGTAGTGTTAGGAGAGAGCGTTCAGGATATTTTTTTCTTGGTTTGACTGCGCGAATGGTGAATAATTCTGCTGGAATATGGCTTGGCACGTCCGAAAAAACTTGTCGAGGCATGCCGGTATTCTACAGTTACAGATCATTTCTGGGCTAATCACTGCTTATTCGCATATACATTGGGTCTATTGTTATTGACTGGTTTGAGGGAAAGAGACAAACGGATTATTAGGCTTACTAGTATTACTGGTTTGATTCCCATTATAATATGCTTCGTTTAAAAGCAATGTAATAACATGCAGACCGCCACTTGATCTTGCTTCAGACGATAGAGGGTGGTCAATGATTAGGTTATGCCTGCACATCAATAATTGTACTACAACTCTAAACCAACAAGGTAACCCTTGCTCACCACAAACATTAAAAAGATACTGACTTGTGACATGCCGGTATGATGTTGTGCGTTCCTTTATAGATCGATGGCCCCTGTGCCTGGGGGATCCAGCCAACGAGAATATTCATTACTACATGAAGTACATCATAGCTGAAAAGTACGATCCGCATAGCGACTCGCCTTGCACCAAACTTGGTGGTACTCCTGCAGACCTGACCAGCCCGTCGAAGCTTGAATGCGCCCGGAAAGCCTTTCCGCTGAAAGACTTTGTTTGCCTCGAAGGTGATGGGGAGCGGTCTTCACTCTGTGCAGCCTACGTTAGCAAGGACTACAAGTTGCCGAGCAAAGTGGAGAACGACAATGAAATTCAACCGAGCTGTAAGTGCTTTTCTCCATGGCGGAATATCACCAGTTGCGATTGCCGCCTTCAGCGCTATGTCGTCTGCGAATTGCCAGCGGAGCAAGGTGAGTGAGGCCTACCCTCGTCGCGTCTGAACTGCACAGGTTAAATCGATCAGTTCCATTCCGCATGTACACTGCTGGAAACTGAAATCCGACCACTGAGCGGTGCGCTCACATCGCAAAGACCCAACACAGGATTGTAACACTAGTCTACGACGTACAAGTAGATACCGTTAGAATGTGAACGCACCTACCCGCTCTCATGTACTCTCTCTCTGTCTCTCTCTCTTTCTCAATCTACCCTCCTCCCCCTCCCTCCCCTCCCGCTTTCCCCTGTTTCTTTCTCTTTCCCTCATACTTCCATTTGTCTGGTGCATCCAGAGCGTGACGATGTCGAGACCAGTTGGTCGACGGAGCGCCTGACCCCCACCACCATGGCTGCTGCATCTTCCCTTTGCGTGCACCATATGGCTTTAGTAAAACAATATTTAAAAAACACTCAGGTGTCGGATTTCAGTTGTCAGCACTGAAGCTTCCCATAAAGTTATTGTCAAATGTTCCAAATCCAGTTATACAATTTAGTTGCACTATTTCGTACTGTAATCCGACCGTACATTATATCAACAGGTGGTAGATAAATCATACTCCTTTTTGGGTATAACTATAGCAATCTTGTGCGATAAAGTGTTCATAATACTACAGAAGCTTCTGTGGATTTCCACTTACCAGACGTACGTATATCCTTTGTACGGAGGTGCAAACTTAAGCTAGAGATGCCACTTCATACAAGGCGGCAAAATATTTTTGAAGCGCTTTGCAAAATACGGGTGTAAACATGTTTGAAATGAATTTTAGGCATTCTCTTGATCTTTCTGGCGTGCAGAATACTATCATCCCTTATCGTCCTCGGAGCCGGGCCCGAGCACAAAGACTGCATTGTCCTCACGACCCTCTGTCCCCACGGACCTTAGATTTGCCACCACAATGGCGGATAGATCTGAAGACACGGCACCTGAAGACCGGCCCGCAGTTGTCCAGGAGATAAGCGAAGCAAACCTTTCCTGGGGGGCACCAGTATTTCGTGGCGATAGCAATCCTGCCAGCAAGTCGAACACTGCAGGAGTCTACGATGAAGAGCTTCAACGTCACATGACGTGGGTACTGCCCACAGTGATTGCGTCGCTAGCCTTGCTAGTGGCGATCATCTTGGTTCTCGGTACCGTCCTATGGAGATCAACGTCAAGAGCTTCAGCTACGCTAGTAAGTCACTAGACACCATTTTTATATTTAAAAGAACACAGTGCTCAAAATGGAAGGGCCAACAATGACACTAGTGCATGCATACAATTACGGCTCAATCTGCGGACAGAACTGTTTTATCCTTTGTGGACTCATCACCGCAGCACAGAGGAAAATGAGGCCTAATCTGATAGAAATGAAAAATAAATTTGCCAAAGCAAGATTTTAAACCAGGTCCGAACGTACCTTGCCAGAGTGCTCAAACTGACAAGTCAGTGAGCTCTGCATAACGCAAACAGCAAAGGCACCACCTCACACAAGAGTGCTCAACTGCTACAAGAGCAGGAGCGAAATACTCATGCAGACAATCACAAAATTCCAGCAACGTTCAATTCAATTGCCATGGACATTCGGCCTGTTGGAATCTTTGCATATCACCCAACTCCACTTCCAAGCAGTCTGGATCAAGGCAATCTTTCCGAAACGTAGGAATTGACCGCCTGCCTAAAACGAGTTCGATATTTGCAGAGTGATCTGGAAAGAGGAGCTCTGATCTACCCCACTTCCTGAATCTGGAAAAGTCATCAATATTTAGAAACCGTTTGTCGTCCCTGGTCTTCGGGCGCCTTTCTTCCTGTTCCTCCAATCCATTTTTTCTGTACGTTTTCACTTTATAAACGTATGTCATTTGTGCTGCATCTTTACGTAGAATACCCAAGATGTGGAACGCAAGCAAACGCCCTCGCCCGCTGGTGCTGCTGCTAAGCAACCTGTAGTCAAGATTGGAAACGGTGCTTCGTCAGCCAACAACCCTCCCAGGCAGACTTCAGACACCAGCATGCACAGTACTCACACAGAAGAGGTGAGGTTGGGCATTGAAGGGCATTTCCCTTTGGAAATGAAAAGTGCAAGCTTCCACGTCACAATAGTGTTCATTTATTTCTCTTATCAACTTCCCATGCCCATAAAGACTCGGATGGAGAACCAAGGGTTAATTTATAGTACTTGTAAAGGAAAGGATCAAAGAACTACAAGTTACGCTATAATGTCCACCAACACCACCATCCAAGGTGTGCTAGAGCTGATGCCCGGTTAGCTGTATAACGTCAGTACCGTCGGTCAGTGTCGTGCAATGTTATTATGATCATTTCCGGCATCCTGATCTTCAAGCACAAATACATGGCTGAGATTCGGATATGATGAGTATCCTGGAAAGTACATGTATCTACGTCACGTCGTGTAACAGCATGTCAGAAGCATGCAATCTAAAATCTGTGCGAGGCAGATCTTGGCACCGATTGATCTACAGATTGTGAACAAAGGCAGAATTCTACTTCGTCCTGTGCACGATAAAAATATCCCACTCCCGACACTGTTTACATAATTATTTTCCTGTTGCCACATCTTCTTGTTCACCCCTGTTCGTGTATTTCAAGGTTGCCTGTGAAATTCCCGGCCAGGCCCTAGAGAATCCGATGTACGAACAGATACCCATTCCTATTCAGGTGAGTAAAGAAGTTGTGTTCGATTGAAGCATTTCCCCACAATCAACAACTGGACGTGTTCGGTTGAAAGAGTTGATTGCAAAATCTTCATGTAACACAATAATATTATGTAGTTCTACATCAATCTTCCGATCGTCTTGTGTTTGGATGTGTAATCATTATGCATGTGCGGCGATGATTCAGTACCGGCACATGCATAAACCATCACTACAAAAAGAAACTTCACGTTGCTTACTGGTACGTGCTGCATACCCGACGTCAAATAGCAGGGGAAATGTGCAGAGTCCTCAGTGAGGTACTTTCCAATCCGGTGAAAAGGAGAGGAGTATGTTATAACCGGGGTACTTTTGATATCCATACTTTTAAAATGTTCATCGAAATGGGTCGCTCTACACATGATCGTAGGGCTCTCTAGGCCGTGCATACGTACAATGCTCTGCCTGATGTTGTTGTTTTTGCAGATCAAAGCAAGTGTCCCCGTGTATTTGTGCCCAGCTGATGAGAGAATGTATGCAAATTCCTCACCATCCACCAGCGCGACTAAGGTAGGACTTCAAGATCAGTACATTGTCTGTCCCTGTATGTATGAAGATTATTTCCACGTCCAAGAAACCCCTTTGGGATTGGGTACCTGACTTTGATTAGGGAAGCAAAGGCGACGAGGAGGTTGAGGAGATGAGCACTATGTCGAGCTCATCGAGGTCTGGTACTCTGTAACAGTCAGACTTGACTTTGGGCTATTTTTACATTCATTTTACCTTACACTGCATGTAGATCTACATGTTATAAAGTTATTTGTCTGGTGAGTTCTTTCGCACGAAACTCGGAGTCATAACGAATTTCCCGGCTGTCCATCGCTTGATGACTTTTAAACAAAATTGTGTGTCATTCATCTTTGATGCTGAGCGCCCTTTTCGCAGCTGTGAGACCTGATCTGTTTCTCTGGATGTCGTACATGTATGTATGCATGTTTTTCCTCTTTCATTGTACCTGACAGGCTGCTCCCGAACCACCACCACACAACTCCAGACCTCCTCTATAGCATAACCATGCGTCTGAGGACATGCAATTGAATACGCGACCGTCCGGAAGGATACCAGGGACAGTCAGATCTACTATTGAATTGTATGGATCGGCCGGCCGTTGTCGGGAACTCCCAGGAAGCCATAATTCACACTTGAAGTCATGTAATTGTACATCTATGCGCATCTGGCAAGGCATTGAGTGAAACATTGGAGCAATCGGCCACTTACATGTACACTGTACATTATGACAACACTTGTATTATTATTTTTGATTCTTCTTCCTACTGCCAATTACAGTATGACTAGTTTTTCAGTTTATGCTTACAAAACTCTGCACATGAGTCGTCAATTCAAAAGGAATGACCGTTATGTCCCATATGCATGTGTAGAGTGTAGGTACCCATCTACTGACCGGGTGGCATAGTCACCAGCGCATTATAGCCTATACGTTTAGGTACTGTAGAAGATGCGTGGAAGACGGCGGAAGGAATCTGTTTTCTGCAAATCGGTGTCTATCATCAATACCGCTTTTTTCAACAGACCATTGAGAAAGTTACGTTGTATATGTAACAAAAAAGGTTTGGGGGTTGACAGATCTGATTCCAAGTGTATTTTAGTTCATAGTGAAGAGCAATGCAGCCTGAGTCATGGTCCTTAGGTCAAACCACTCTGTGAAATACATGTAGACATGAAACCGCAAAAAATGACTAAAATTGTCTTCAACCTGTGAGAACTAGAACTGCAGTGTTGACATCTCTTCCGAATATGTTGGGGAACACAAAGGCCAACAGTAAAAGTTTTCAATGGAACTATTTTGAATCTGCCCCTTGCAGCATCCAGCACTAGCCTTGTCAAACACATGTTTCAATGAGTTAAAAATCCAATTATGGCTAAAGTGCCAAGGCAAATACATTTAAATCCTGGGATGTAAGTTTTCCAAATGGATAAATCGTATAGATAGCTATTTGCCAAGAGAAAATGAAGGCTGTGTTTGGTCAGCTTATACACGTATGAATTCATTTTTTTAACAGCAAATGCTGGGGGAAATACAACCGATTTCTGCTGATGACATCATGGTGATAGAGTGCAACATAATTTTGTGCTTGCCCAGTATGGGAAAATCTAGGCTACTGGATGCACCCATATCCAAATGTAACCTTGCGCAGCACATGGAAAATGTCTTCTATTCAGCTGTAAGCTAGATATAGACAGTAGGACGTATTGTATTGCGCGTACGCAGAAACAAACTTAGGAAAGAAAACTCTTTAGTAGCTGAATTCAACAAGTAATTTGACTCAGTGTACCTGGTCTTCCCTAGTGGCATGAACACTGCTGCTCGGGACTTCTCCACTTCACTTCATACCTACCATAACTAGGATCAAAGTCTTCAAAACTCATGCCGGAATCGACCAGGTTGTTAGCAAGCTCATACTGGTCTATATCCAGCACACCTGAACATCAGGAGGCAGAGACGCAATACACACAGTGAAAATATTTCTGGGTTTCGTTTAACTCCACTTTGAAACTCCACTTGAATATTGACAATATATCGAACACCACTGTGCACTGTGCAGGAGAATACATTCCTTATACATGCAGCTGAAGTTCTTTATAACCGGAATGCACTCAAAACACATAGGTAACAAGTCATGACTGGCATGTGACTTGACAATAATCAGGGGCGTCACAGGGCGGTTGGGAGCGGTACGATCGGGGTTGGGGGTGCCCCCCGGAGAAAAAAATCGGATTTTTCGGCCAACAGGACACGTTCTAGCACTCGACAGCCACAAAGGAGGGTTCGCCGGGCCCCTACAGCACTTATTAGACAACCCCACTCCAGCTCCAAAAAACACTTCTCCTGGATTTGTTGGTATTTTCTGTACATCGTAGGTAGCCAAGGCAAAAACTAAGTTACACGTTAGTTACTTTGAAAAAGGAAGCCACGCCGCATGCACTATGTACAGTGACACTGTAGCTGGACACTCAAAGTATAGACGTACAGGTCTGGCCAGAGAAATCCAACCTCCTGCCCAGACAGCCACGGAGTAATGTTACATGATTGTAGTTGTTTTTAGAGATAGAAGAAGATCCTCTTTTGTTCGGTGGGATTGAAAGATCTGCCAGTGGACCGGAGAGCTACAACACTGGAAGCAGAAGAAAGGGCTTGTCGAATCTCATCTGTCTTCGTGGCAACAGGACTTTAGTTTGCGAGAGACTTTTGTCCTGTCATCGCGGACGCAATTCGTGTTGCTGCTACCAGAAAATTCGGAGAACGAAACGATCGTAAGTCGTTTGGTGAAGCGGGTCGTGTCGGTGAACAGCTGCAGATTGTTCTGCCGCCGTGGAGCAGCAGTCCAAACACTTTTCAACTTCGGAGAATGAAGCACTTCCCTATTCCGTTGACAAGTGCGGCGTTCGCGGGCGTACATGTACTCACAGTAGTAATGCATTTTCGCATCAGCTTGCAGTAGATCGTCAGGAGCCAGCGGTACCCGTGGCTCCAACCGCCTATCGCAATGGATAGCCGCCTGGAGTCTTGGGGTGCTAGCTGCTAGGCGTCAAGTCTGAACCATTATAATTGAATGCTCCTTGCGATGAAAGTTGTGATGTTTTGTACAAGTCCGAAGATCCTTGAATTTTTTTATTGCTTTTTCGGATGAATTGGGTGGACCATCCTGGACGAAAAGTGGTACGACCATGGTCATAGTGGTCGTACCGTGTGTGACGCCCCTGATAATTATGAGTGCACTTAGTTTAAAATGCAGCCCCACTCTTGTATGGCCGAAACTGTTCGCTATAAAGGGTCTATTTTGTATCGGTCTATTTTGTATCGGTTCAAAACAGGGACATGGACACTGGTTCGCTATATCACAAAATTCGTTTTAAGTTGGTTTGTTATAGGTGGAGTCGACTGTATGTTGATTTGGTATTTCTAAGGCATGTTCATCATCTTAGCCTGGGCCAGTAATATGTCCATGGCAGACTTCACAATGAAACAGATGCACCATGATGATGTACAGATGATGCAAGACGCTCAAAATAATTATAGATGTACGGGTCTGGCCAGAGAAATCCAAACTCCGGAATGTCGCGCCACAGAGTTCCAAGTGCACCGAACAGTGAGTGCGTTCGATTACACACTTGAATCGATTCATGAATCGATTTATGAATCGATTCAAGTGCATTCAAGTCGTTCGATTTTCATGTCATGAGCCCTGGAATCGATTCGGAATCCATTCACTCTATTCACATGGGGTGCTGTGAACAGCGCGAATCGATTCATGAATCGATTCGTGAATCGATTCGCGCGTGTAATCGAATGCACTCACTGTGTGTAGTGCTAGGGCTGCATAGTGCAAGGTGCTATTTTATTCATGAGGTTGGGTTTTTCTGGCCAGTGCCGTACATCCTGCCAACTCCCCCTCCCTCCCCCCACCCCCCCCCCCCCCCACACACACACACACAATCTCCTACACACACACAATCCCCTACACACACACTATCCCCTACACACACAATCCCCTACACACACACACACACACACACACAATCCCCTACACACACATGCCAAGCAGCACTCTCTTACCTTCAGCCAGCTCTGGTTTCAGTGGCTTGTGCACATCAACATTGCCCATGGGGTCTGCATGCTCTTCACCACTGCATGAGTGTAGACGAGTACCGGGAGAGTGAGACATTGACTCAGCGTCAGAATGAACTAATACTCGCTTCTCTCCACGCTGTCCTGCAAGAATGAAAAATGGCAAAGAATCAAGAGAGCTGTGGGCGAGTTAGGTAAAGGGAAAGGTAGTAATGTCTGACCATAACCGAAGGTCCATGGTTTTATTCCAGGTAGATAATGTCAATTCTTCTTCATACTTTCCTGTTTCAACTTCCAACTTCCTCAAACTTTAAAAAAATACCAAAAAGTTGCATTTGAGGAGTAATTCTGACCGTGAGGGCGTCAGGAGTTAGAGACCTCTTGCTTCGATGAGATCTTCACACCTGCAGTACTTAGCTTTAGTATTACTTTCCCTTGCCTCGGATTGGTTGAACACTGCCAGTGGCGGATCCAGGATTTGGCCGAAGAGGGGGCCCAAGGTATCCCCCCCCCCCCAAAAAAACAACAGCAACAACAACAACAACAAAGTCCTGAAGTTGTGAAGAGCTGCTGTATTCCATTCTCACGACATTTTCAAACTGCACTGGAAGTGTTGTCAAGCTGTGGTGTAACTCAGGCATTAGGGCGACACTACTCTACTAGCAGGTATTTGTATGTTACAAGTGAGTTGCAACAGAGACTTGAAATGACTTCACATTCAGGAGCAGGTTCGGGAACTGTCGCAAGTGCAGGAACTTTTCCACTCGACAGCGGCTGCGACGGACCTTTGGACGGCTCTTCAACGCGAGCTCTCTTATCTACCGGTCCACTGAAGAACGACATGATGTCAGACCCTTTCCTCTTCATCGCATATCTGAAGGTAACCCGTTGGCTACAAGCGAAGTAGAGAGAGCGTTTATTATCTGACAAGTGAAAAAGAAAAAGGAAGTATGAAGTCGACAGTACCGTGCCCCGTACAGGACTTCAGTTCAACGCTATCGCTGCAGTAGCTGCACTTGTACCAGGGCCTGCATTTTTGGCACGTTTTCGCATGTTTGAAGTGCGGCTGTGGCCTCTACTCAGGTCGCAGTGCAGCTGCGTACAGTACTCAGTAGTCGTACACAGCGCGCTGGCTAGTGCGTGACACCGGACACGTACCCAGCACGCGTGACCCACTTGACACGCCAAGTCATTTCGAGCGCTCATTCTACAGCCTACTGTAATCCTA